AATCCTTTGAAGAACCTCTTGCCACTCTGCAAGGGTGTAGCCGAGAGGGGAGTGTTCTGGGGACGGAGGGGCCTGGCCTTTGCAAGGGATTCGCACTCTCTGGAGTGAGTTATAAACTCAGATTGGCTGCTACTGCTGACAACACCTGAAGCAAAATTTCTGGAGGTTGTGCTTTGGGTTGTCACTGTTGCTTAAAATTTTTCTTATTATTTTCAAGATTTTTCTTGTCTTTAATTTCCCCTGCAGCTAATAATGAAGCTCTCTGAGTTAACGTCCCTCTGCCTCCCCTTGTATCATTTGTCCCCGGATGGAGATGGGGAAAATGGCTCTTCATGGCTATGAGTACTGTGGGTGTGTTGTTTGAAAACTGTAGTGTGGCCAGTCTCTAAAACAGGCCCAAGCCACCATTTGGGCTCCATGCACCCAACTGGGGTCTGCCTGCTCCAAAATGGGATCACTCTGCACTGGACACCCAGGGATCCAGGCCACCCTGGATAAGGTCATGCTCAGGCCACTGACATTTTAATCAGCATTTCATAACTAATTGCCTGGCCACAGCTATCTTATTATCAATTAACATAGTCCTGAATGTCAGGAAGTAACTGTATCTCTCTAACTCGCTAAGGCTGCCTTCTGGGTCTGTGAAATGGCTGGATTTCCTCACAGGGATGGATTACATGTTTACATCTTCCCTGCTGCCAGAGTGTGTAGTGCGGATGACCCAAGTAAGCAACAATAATGTCTTCATGTTCTCTCTCTGTCCTCCTCATCTTGTGTAAGCTAAAGAGGGGGGAAAAAAATCCCTTGTGTGTGAGCTTTTGGAGCAGGCTGGAAGACACCCACATTGCAGGCACTGTACTGCCTGAATCCAAGAAATTAGAGAGAAAAAAAAAAAGCTCCAGCATTTGAGAGCCTTTTTAGAATGGACATTTTTCCAGACAGCAGGAAATGCCCTTAAATGGATGGGATCATTTCAATGATCCTTTTGGTCCAGAGAGCATTGCTGTCTCTCAAGCTGGAGGATATCTCTGCCATCAGCAGAAGGTCTCTTACCAAACTGACCTGCTCCAATGCTCCAATCTTTTAACATCTGCTATTTTGGAACACGGGACTTTCCGGATTAGGATAAATATGACCCACTTAACAAAACTAAGCATCCCCTCTTGTGAGGCTGAAGAGAGTACAGCATGGAGGGTGGCTTTTTATCTCTCTGTGTGGGTGAGAGCAAAGGGTTCCTTATAGTTCTGTTTTCGTTAGTCACTGGTTGAACGGGCCATGTGGAAGGTCAGGTGAGGAGAGGGCTCTGTGGCATGGCCTTGCTGTTCATCGCAAGTGTGTCCCTTCTGTATCTGCAGTAAGGTGGGTTTAGCCTATCTGCAGACTGTGGCTGCCCATTTACTCATTTGGGCTACAGGGAAGGCAGAGCTGCTTTAAGGAAAGCTTGTCTGCATAAAAACCAGAGCAACTGAGAAGGGACAGTGCAGATGGTGCTAATTTCCAGAGGCCATATGTTTGGAGGGACCCCGGGTACCCCTACAAGAATTCTTTGTTTTCTCAATGTTCAGTTTCAAAGGTGCTCTGGGGGTCTCCTCTTTGCAGGAGACCGCTGCTTCCTCCCACTCATCCACTCCCGACACGTTTGCTCTGTCCCCTCCTCCGTCCCCCGCTGCTCGCTGAGCCCTGCAGCTGGATAAACAGCGATCCAGTGCTTACAGCCCTCCGGTGCCTTCCAGCGAGGCGCCGGCACGGAGAGAGGCTTCCTGAGCTGCCCGTCGTGGGCGGACGGCCGTGCTCAGCCCGCGTGCCAGCGCCAGCATCGCTCCAGGCCCAGCAAGATCAGGTTCAAAACACATGGCATCTGGAGGTGCTAATTGCAAATAGGGGTTCTCTGTCTGTGCACGGCTGAGGGATTTGGTGGTCTGGGAGCTCTGGGTCTGTCTGCTGCCCGGGCTTAGCTATGGAATGGGCTTAGAAACGTTCGCGGTAGCTTTGATCTCTGCTCTGTTGACTCATTGTCCCTTCTCTGTTGACTGTTTGTATGGAAAGGGGATCTAGCTCTTCTCCTGTGCAGCACCACCACTATCTCACCCCAAAAGAGTCTGCTGTAGGGAGAGGAGGAACGCCCAGAGGCGTGATTTGTACTTGTGGCTGTTGATAATATTGGCTCCTGGTTGTTTGTGGAACTCTTTGGAGTTCACCACCATCAGGAGCTGGCCCACTTGGGGGCAAGCAGGCCTGTTTCAACACAGCTGCCCCAGTCCGGCTGGGGATGCAGGACACTGGTGACATGAGGGACAACGTGCAGTGGTGTTGTGGTGACTCTGTTGCAGTTCAGGTGGCTTTTGTGAAGGCTCCCATGCAGCCTGGTGGACTTGTGAGTTTGCCCCCTTGGCTTACAGAGTTGTCAGTGTCCCTGACCAGGCCAGACCTCTGGCCAGGGGCAAGTCCAGTGCACTGCCCAGGAGAGGCTGGCTCAGCCTGGCCACCAATGGTTGGAGCAGTTGGGGGTGGAGGTGCACATATCCCTGTCCTCCTTTGCCAGCTACTACTTGTTTTATTAAGAATACACTTTAGAACCTCTGCTCCACCTTCTTGTTTATCACTGGGACAGAATATGACCAGTGCATTTTGCTGGAGCTTTATTTTGCTTTGTAAAATCCCCAGTGCTTTGCAACAGCTTATCCAGCAACACCTCCTTCCTCCCCGCTGTCTTTGAGACATCTTGCCTCCTCCTCTTCTCCCTTTTCCTCCTCCTCCAGCCCATGTAAGATGATGTTGCTTTTGGAAATGACTCTGTCTGGGGGCTTCGCTTTCTCCTGGGTCACATGGACGATCCCGGCATTTGAAGCCCAGTCCCTGGATGGTCTCTACCAATTGACTTATTGCAGCCAAGACTCTGTCCCTGCAGCTCCCTGATGTGTGTTTACACAAGACTGTGCAGTCCCCCCTTCACACAACCATTAATTTTATAGAGGGCATATAACAGAGATGGGCCTCCACTATGCCTCCTGCCTTTGATCTGTGTGGGGTGTGTGGCCTGGTGGGCCCAGAGCTGCCGGCAGTGCTGATTTACTCTGCTCTGTGGACAGAGCTTCTGGAGCAAACAAGAGCCTATGTTTTCTCGCAGTGGTAATAGCAATACCGTTACAGGCTGTGCTGCTGGCTGGGTGTGTTGGGGCTAGAAGGGCAGGGATGGCTCAGGGTTTGCTTGTCTTTAAGTTTTTCTTTTAATATTAGCTCAGTAGTTTGGCTCATGCAAGTCGTGAGTGCCCCAAGCCCACGCAGGCAGGTAGGCGGGTTATTAAGGGTCTGCAGTGTTACTAATGGAAATAAAGTCCGTGTATTGGCAAGCCATAAGCATTGACCTTGTGACAGGGCGCTCACTCTGAAACAAAATCTCTCCAGAACAGTTCTCTCACAGAACTTCATTGTCATCCAAGCCAGACTCAGAAAACTTTCTTTTTTTTTTTTTTCTCCCAGTCTGGCATAAATTAGGATTCCTGGATGTGAGTCTGACCTTGCCCTCCAAAATGAACTCTCTGATGAGGAACCCTTTTGTTGTTTAGACTTGATGTACCAAGTAGGACACTGACCTCAGCATGAACACTGGTTGTGGGGCAATTGCCAGACCAACCAAATCTGGGTCGCCCCTGAGATCCTGTCCTAAATTTGATTGGAGTTGAGTTGTTGAGCCTTCTGGCTGTGAGTGTTGACCTTAGCTCTCTCTGTCAGTCATCACGAAGGTGCTAAGCTTTATTATTTTTTAACCCAAAGGTACCCTTTAGAGGTAACCTCTTCTAAATGAACCACGATGAAAGCTGTGTCTAACAGTGGCATTTGACAGGGCAGTTTTAGGTCACCAAAGCTTGATAGCCAAACCATTTGCTGAAGCCCCTGGTATGAAAGAGTCATGCTAAGTGAGAGATTTCCAATGTGGAAAACGTTTGTTCATCCAGAGTCTCCGGTTTCTTTTATGGACTTTCAGCCAGGGGCATTTTCAGGATGACGACGTATTCCGCAGGTGCTCACTGTGACATCCGCCTCCCGTGCAAGGAGGAGGCTGCTGCCTGTTATCTGTCAGCTCGCCTGTTATACTGCTTAGCCTTAATTCTTGGCACTCTGTATAGAGAAAAAAAAAAAGAAAACAAGAGTATCTATAAAGTATGGAAAATGTAGAAGCCCCTGACAGTTGTATGGTGTGTCTTGCTTCTCCCACAGAGAGGAAACCACAAAATAGTGAGTCCAGGGGTTTCTTTCCACACACACAATATCTGTCAGGATTTTGAAGAATTTTCTGGGAACTGATGAAAGAAGCGTGTTCTTTAAGCCCTGATATATACTGTACAACTGTTCTGTACAAGGGAGTTGCAGCACTCCACACTGGCAGGTTCCAAAAAGCTTTCCAAAATAAAAGAAACCCCAAGGACTTAAGGGAATTTCTTCCAAGAGGGCAGATTGGCTTCTATTGGAACATAGGCAGAAGCAAAGGGGAAAATTTGCTTGTATTAAAGAGAAAAGATACCTGATACGTTTAATAGCTGTAGTTTCCTAATTACCTTTTCACACCTTTGCAAGATCACCAATGCTGGTTGGAAGTGCACAGGAATTTTAGCAGCAAAGGGGCTCTTGCCTCCCTAGATTCAACTTTTTCAGTCACCAGGGGTGGCATGGATGTGAGGTGGAGTCACACAAGTAACAAGACCCCCACTCATGTGTGCTGAAGGACCAAACCTGTGTGTAACAGCGTCAAGAGCCTGACTTGCATGGCCTTCCTGACACAGGGCTGTCAGAGGCTGCCCTGCACTCAGTGATTATTAGCAGCTGCTAATTGTGGGGATACTTTAATTAACAAGCAGAGAGTTGGTGAAAGTGCATCAGCAAATGGGAGCAGCCTCAGGATCAACCCCAAAAGATGGTGCAATGTTTTTATCTAGTCCTTCTGGTTAGCATTTATTACATTAAAATAATTAATGATTGTTAATTTTTTTCCTCTCTTTCAGGTCCGCCTGTAAGTACCAAACCTCTGTGGTTTTAGAAGCTGTTGACACAGAGTTTGTGGGGCATGAACTGATACAGTCTCCTGTCTGTGGTGTCTGGTGTGGTAGTCAACTTTGCAGTCCTGGTACCCTGAGATCTCCCAAACAGCAAGTACTGTGGGTTGTCAGGATCTATACTGGAGTGGGATTTCTCTTGCCTGCAATTCAGCCTGTGAGGGGGAGATAGAGTGAGCCAGGGATGGGGACACAGCAAACCCATGGGGTACAGGTGTCTGTGTGTTACCAGTTGGCCCCACATACTCCGGGGGAACCGCCTGCATGTGCTTCACATGCACTGGGTGCCACACACTGAACAAGACGTGTGTGCAAAAAAGGGAAAGACAGATCACAAACACATGGCAGGAGCTGAGCTGGAGGGACTTGTTCCCTGCTACTTCACCCAGGCTGGCTGAACTGCTGAGCTCTCAAGTATAGCTGCACAGCTATCAATTTCCAAGGAAAAATTGTGTTGACAGCTTCCTTTTCAAATGTTAGCTAATGTAAAACCTCAGTGCAGATGATTTAGGCTTCAGGAAAATAGCTAGGTTATTGCAGAAATTTTCTTGTAGCTCTTAAGAGACCCACAGTAAACCAGCAGCAGCAATGCAAGGACTGAGGCCATGTATCTCTCAGGATTATAAAGAAACACTATATTGTCTCTAGCACAGTCCTTCCAGGGGAAATGGTTTATATTCGTGTACAATAGAGTGACTATAGTGGGTTTCTGTGGAGGAACATGAGAAGTTAAACATACGGTAGTCATCTTTTGTCTGTTCATGCAAAAATGTCTTAAACAGTTTGCAGATGACGTTCTGAGGAGAAGTAGTTGCTGTGCACAACCTATTTTCTTTCCCATTTCATCAAGCTGAAATGCTATAGACTGAACTCCCCCAGATATACGAACACAGACGTATTTAATGACAACAATCTTCCAAAAAGTTGCACCTTCTAGGCCAAAAGGTCTGAAAGTGTTTCACAGCTGGAAGCCCTGATCCACACAAACCTTCAGCTTATCCCAGGGGCTTTGAGGATGAGGACAGAAGTGGATGTATTTCAGCATTAACTGTGGGGTTTTGGGAAGAAAGCACTGCTTTGGAGGGGGCTGCAAGTGGAGTCCATCCATGGCTGTCCCTCCTACTCCAGCCTGGGCAGCCAGACGTTGGCATTAAATAGACGGGGCGGGCACAAAATTGGTGGTGGTGTTGGTATGTCTGTTATTGCTGTGAGAAATTAAAGAGAAATTAATAGCTCAGCACAGACATCTCCTAGAGAGCAGTCAGTGCCTTGTGGGGTGAGGAAGACGCACGCTCCAGGCTTCCTCTGCAGCACTAAGGGTTAGAAACCTAATATTGTAATGAGAGATTGAAGCCTGGCAGAAACACATGAGACCACCAGAGAAGTGCTGACATTATTTGCTACTGTATCCTGGCTTATTGTGACCCCTGAACCTGCCTCCGCATGCAGACTTCCAGGACAGGCCATAAGGAGTGCTACAGCCAATGGAAATAATAAGAGGAAGTCAGGCAGACTGAGTGTCGTTAGCCAAGGTGGAATTTGTCCTGGGATAGCAGCACCCTCATCTCATTCAGGACCTCTTGGGTTTCTGATGGCTGGTGAGCGAAACCGCTGCGAGCGAAAGTTCACCTCTGAAGAGCCAAATGGAATCCTCCATGTCACCATAGGAAATATTTTCCCCCTCATATTTCTTGTGATTAAAATGGGAATGGTTTTATGAGCAAACAGACCTGGGCTCCTGCCTGGCTGACTGTCATATGCATTGTTCTGGAGAGCAACCCCAAAGTGCCGACCACCTCACATCTCTCTCCTGTTTTTGTTTTCCATCTTGCAAAACACAGCATGCAGTGTGGCAGGGCTTAGCTCTCAGTGCTGGTGTTGGCTTGAGTGTGGAGGTGGGCAGAAGTTCTCACTAGAAATGCACTGGGCCCTGCTTGTAGTCTAGGACAAGGAGGAGAAAAGCCAGGGAAGTGGATGAGCAACATCACAGCAGCAGAAGGGGTGTCCATGCTCTCCTCTTGCCCAACTGATGCTCCCCCCCTTATTCGTGAAGTCAGTTGAGGCTTTGGTGAAGGCAAGGGCAACCCGCAGTCACGTAAGATATTTGGTGAGATTGAGACTAAAAGGGGCAAAGGAAGGAAGGAAATTATGAAATCGTGCAATAGTCCAGAGGTTTCCAGACTCTTTCACTGTCTGGACCACATCCGAAGCAGAAGATCCTCTCATGGACATTTTCTCTCCCATTTCTGATCATGCAACATTTCTGTGGCAACTGCAGCAATTCCATACATGAAAAAATAATATTTAGCAGATGGAAAGTAAGGAAGAAAGTCAAAGCCCTGTAATTAGCTTGTTCTCCATGGAGTTGCAGATACCTTCAGAGCCCGTGCAGAGAGCTGTGGGCAGAGCCATGCCAAAAGGAGAGAAAACTTCACAAGCAGGAGATTAGGAAACCAAAGCAATCAGAGCTGATGGTCAAGGAGCTGTGGAGAGTTTTTTAACCATTCTGTTTCCTAAACCCTTCCATGTGATTTCATCTCTTTATCAAGCCCTCCCTTCAGAGTTTGAAGGTAGTTTTTGCTGTTTCTGTGTATTTGTCCCAGGGCCTCACAGAAAGGCCTGGGCTCCCAGTAGGTACTTCATTCTTTCCGTCTCATCCCCTCATTCTCTCTGTCTGGCAGTACTTTGATCAGGAGGCCTCCAGCATTCATAAACTGGGAGAAGTAAGTCTGGCATAGAAAATGTGCTGTGGAACAGAGTATTGCAAACAGGACATGGCTCATGCAGAACAGGGACTGCAGGAGCTTTGTAGGACCAAACCTGAGGGTAACATAATCCCCATGAGCCCTCCTATGTGTGGGAAACACTACTTTTGAAGATACCTTTGTCAGCTTCAGAGTCTGGTTGAAGAGGCAGGGTGTGCAGTATTCTTGCTGACGGGACTTGCTAGTTGCAGCAAGATTTAGAAGGCCTAAGTCACTCTGGGACAAATGCAAAAGTCTGTAATAACAGTATCTGCATCTGAGTTAGTCATGAGTGAGGAAGGAGTGTGGGTTTTGGAGTTAGAGCTGTGTGCTTTCCTGGTGATGGCTCCCTGCTCCCCAGGCTGCTGCTCACCTGGAGACTGCACGAGTTGCAACAGGCAGTTTCCTAATGAAGGAAATGCAAACTGTGCTGCTGGCTCTCCCCTGGACTCAGGACAGAGGCTGCTTGTTGCCTTTCGTGCTCCTCTAGCTCCAATGTGGGAGCTTCAGGTGGCTTTGTATGACTTTGTAACCAACCTACGTGGTATCATCCACCCACGAGTTCTCTTTCCTGGCTCCCTGTCACAGACAACCTTTCCTTATAAACATCTGGCATTTATTTGCTGTCCTACTGGGAGCTCCCCCTTTGCTGTTGTTGCTCGGAGGGCTGTAATGCTGTGCAGTCACATACCAGATACGGTGCCGTCATGTACCACTCCGACACCAGGTACTCACGGGAGACCTGACACGGCTCAGCCCTGACCTTGGGCTCTTCCTGTTCAGGCACCAGCCACAGCAGAGCCAGGAGAAATTAACTCAGCTTTTACCTCAAACCACGAGGGAGATCAGCCTGGGCTCAGCTGTGGAGGAAAGCAGCATTTAAGGGACTAAAAGCAGAGGAAAGCTCAGCGTTACGTTTTCCAGCAGCCACAAAGGAATCCCAGGGCAAGATGCTGACACCAGGAGTTTTGCTCGCTGCTGGCACACAGAGATAGGCAAATATTAGCAGGACTGAGAACCCGCCTAAAACCTTGGAAGAAAGAAGTTTCCCATAATATGTCATGGACAAAATTTAAAATCAAGCAGCTGTTTAGCGTTTGATCCATCTGCAAGGGATGCTTTTGCAGAGCATGTATTGCTCTTCAATTTATCAAACCATGGGCTGCATGGGAAGGTATGCTCCCCACACCGAACAGCTCCACAGAGGGAAGTGGCTAAACTTCCACCAAGGAACGGTTTGATCCCAGGCAATAATGTCGGAGTTTGGGTTGTACAACCAGAAGAACCTTTGTGTACACCCAGAAAAATGAATATAGTGAAGTGCCTTCCCTTTCCAGAGATTTCAGAGTATGTTCACATGCACCAGAGCTGAATGTGGGGGAAGGCATGAAGAGGTGGCACCGATGAGGCCGGTGTCTCCAGCTGCAGAAACCAGAAAACCAGGTTTGTGCCCACAGACACAGTCAGCCATGGGCAGGAAAACTCTGTTTTACATAAGGAAACCCCAAACATTGCTGGAAACAGAACTGAGAGATTATTATCATGTCATTTTTGCAAAATATAGAGCAGAAGCTGCATGACTGCTGAAGCCATAATCATCAAGATCCTTTAGCAATGAGCTGCTGTCTTCCAGATCTGCACAGCCTTCAGTTTTGGTGACCAGGAATGCAGAGGGGGGTGGTTTGTGTTTTTTTAATTGCATAGTTAAATTTAACTGCAAGAGGCAGCGAACTGCCTTGTAGGTAAGTGGCTGAAGAAAATTGCCACCGGTCCTGTGTTCATGTGTTTACGAGGCTCTGTCCAGTGTCTCCTGACCCACAGTCATTCCCAAAACCACTGTTGGGATCGTTCACACCCTGACAACGCACTGGGAAGTAACTCAAAGGGGTAGAGGACACTGAACACAGCTGCTCGTATGTCTTCTTCCAGACATGCTTTTTCCTGTGTCAGCTTGTGTTCTCACATTTTTCTGTTGCTTCTGGACAGGACTGTATTTTCAAGTCTAAGAGAATTGTGTTTCAAAGTGATAACTCTATAAATAAGTAGCTAACACCCAGCTGACTTTGGTCAAGAAAGAGAAAAACGTGACAGTCGGCTACTTCAGGAAGCCAGTTCCCAGGACCTGGATTTTATGAAGTGTTGGAAATTGGGATTACACTTTGTTTGACTGGAGACTCTTGTCCTTCTTTTGCCACCTAAATTGCAGTGTGTGATTTCTGTTGTGAGATTTGCTGGTTTGTCATATATACACATGAACTGGTGGCTCATACTTGTTCTTAAAGACAGGTTTGGGCACATGCAAATGCACTTTCCTCTCTTTAACTTTCTTTCTACCCCTCAAAATCCCTCGACACTTGCACCACAGCACAAAGCTGCTGCTGTGGCACACTTCATTTGTGCTGTTTTATAACCTTGCTTTTGGTTAGTTACCAATTGCCTCTGATTTTGCCTTAATTGCCAGGGAGACAAAGGTGCGATGGGGATCCCTGGGCGGCCGGTAAGTCAAAACCTCTTGTGTGTGCCTTATCCTCCCCATTCTCTTCCAACCCCCAGGATTTGGCAGGGGGAGCTTTCAGGATGGTCCTTGGCAGGTGTCAGTGTTCTCTCTGAGCCCCACATCTGAGGGGCTCCCCTTGTTGCAGCAGGGTGACCAGCCCTGCAAGCCACACACGTGCCAGGAGGGGTGTTTCCATTCCCTCTGCTGTGCTATCCAGGTCCTCCTCTGGTTCAGCATCCCCCTGGTTGGGTGCCTCCTGCTCCACCTCGTGCGCTGGCCAGGCTTGCTAACTGTGGGCTTGCTAACACGCACCCCTGCCTGCCACCAGCAGCTGCCCTTTCCAGATAATTGTGCCCTGAGTGAAGGGGACCATCCCCTGCCTGGCTCAGGGCTGTATTTTGGAGCTGCTCCTTGCTCGGGCATCCCATGATGAGGATGGGGAGGAGGGGTGGGGCAGGAGCTGAGGCCACCCTGCTCATCCCAACCCCATAGCCAGGGTTTTGGGGTGGGAGAGCGTGCCCCTGCCGCTGACGCCTGTGTTTGTCTCTCTTTCTCTCTTCCCTGCACCCTCTTGCATGTGGCTGCGGTGGGTGCCACTGACCCAGGGACTAAAAGGGCAATCTGGAGAGAAGGTGAGTCAGCTTCTCATAGCCTGTAGCACCCCTAGACTCTAGGGCCTCCTCTAGGGCCAGCCCAAGCTCCCTGGTCACAGTCATGGCCACTGCAGTCAGCTTTGGGCTTCCACACCCCCAGGCTGCCCCATCTTCCGTGTCAGTGCAAGTATATTTCCCAAATTCCTTCCAGGCTACTCAGCCTCTGAAGACGCTGCGTTTCTTGTTTATGACAATTTACTAACAGCATAAGAGCCAGCGGGCACACGCAGGGCTTCCCTCCAGGCTTCCTGGGTTTTAACCATTGACTTTCTTCCCCACTGGCAGCTCTGCTTGACCTAATCAACCTGCAGCTCCCCTCCACCTCCCAGGTTAGCCTGATCCCTGGTGCAAGCAGGAGCAAGGAAGAAAATGGCACAGCATGCTTCTATTTCTGACACAGTGGGACACCATCTCAAAGACTGCTTGCTGTGTAATGAGTTGGTGTTTTGTGCCCACAAAGAACTGGTGGTTTGCAAAGCACCCTACTGCTGGCCCCTGTTTTGACATTTCAGTGTTAGCGTATTTCCCCCAGAGCTGTGAGTACTTCCCACCCGTGAGAACAGGGAAATGGAGGTGTTTGGGGTGTGTGAATAACTGAGTAACAAGGTGTAGGAATTAGGATAGGGATGAATATTCACCTGACAGGGGCATCACCTGTGCGCTGCCATACCAGGCCTATTTGCTCCTCTTCATAGTACATAGAGAGAAAAATACAACAGGGAAGGGTAAGGTAGGAGAGAGATTCTCCTTCCTTGCTTTCACTGCTTGCTCATTGGAGCCAACCAACATTATCCAACAGACTAAGATTTCCCCACCTGAAGCCATCCTGCTTTTTCTCTGCATGTCCTTGCATTTTTCTCTGGCGAAAGTTTTCAACATGAAGGAACAGCAGATACATACAAACAAACAGTGGAAAAAATCCATTGTCCCTGCTTCCCCAAAGCACTCTGTGAGAGCCCTAGGTCCTTGGCAGGCCACAGCTTTGTTTTGCAGAGAGCTCTGCTTGCTTGCAGGCTGCTTGGTTTATGGGATGCTCCATCCCAAAGATCCCCAGCCCTGGGCACTTCTGGAGCTGCCTCTCAGGAGTACACTGTTTTCCAGAGAGAGGGACATGTCTTGCCCATCGCACGCCGTGGGTGGCAAGGAGCTGGAGAGGCAGCTGTTTTCTTTTCCAGCAAGCACTTTGCTCTGTTTTCATCCACATCTCAGCTGAGTTTGAGAAGTACACAAGCTGCCCACAGCTCAAATTTCCCTGAAGCCCAGTACCTCCCTCCTCCTTTTCTTTCTTCTGCAGGACACAGTCCTCCTGGACTCACAGTAAGGAAACAGCAAGGGTTTCAGGCCATCTTTCACACTTGCAATGGGGCAGAACCTCTGTTTTGCCAGAAAGTGTTTTATGTGTTTATAGTTCTCCTTGCTGTGCAGATTCCATTTTCTGGCACTTCTGAGCGGCTACAAATGACATCTCTTTTCTCCTAAAGTGTGAGGCAAGAGCCGAGGGAGGCCAGAACAGCAGCTGCCCCATAAGCCCTGAAGGTCTCACACCTGAGGCACCCTCATTTAACCCCAGTCTTGACAGGAGTATCATTGTCTTTGTATTTTCCTTTCCTCCTTTGCTCACTCCCCTTCCTCTCCCTCGTGTCTCTGCAGGGTGCTCCAGGAGAAGCCGGCATGTCTATCATCGGGCCCCGCGGTCCGCCTGTGAGTGGCTTTTTCTCTCTATTTTTGGCTGATGCAGGATGTGGGCAGGTTACTGGGAAAGACTGAGGAGGGGCACTAAGACACAGCATCAGCTGGAAAGAGCAAAAACCCTGTATAATGTGGTTCCCATACTGAGCCAGCCTTGGTTTTATACTGCTATTATATACTATATATAATGAAATTACAGCTCATTCTCCAGAACAAATAAGGAAGCCTTTCCTTGCAAGGAAACCATATTCCTGCATTTAAAAGGAAGAAGCATCCTTTCTTCTTGCAACAGGGCTGCTACCACTTTTGCAGAAAATGCCTGGCTGATCTCAACCTTAGTTTCTTCAGCAGGGGACAAACTCCCTGATTTTGATGAAGGAGCAGGATCAGAGCTAAGCTGATGAGTGGAGAACTCACAAAGATGAGTAGTTTGGAGGTCTTGCCAAGTACGCAAAATCTTGAAAACTCTTTGTCAACACATTTACTGCTATCTGGGCAGTCCCTTAGCTGTCTGGGGCGATGAGGAAAGTGCAGGCAGGATTATGCATCCTGTTCCAGCAAAAGTGTCCCTGCAAGGTGCAACGAGTCAGCCAGACAAAGCTTTTTGCAAGGATAAGGTCATAAAAAAAGACCAAGTTGAAGGGTTGGAGTGTGTTTACGTGCCCTAAACACTGGGTGTTTCTTACACTGCGGTTCAGCTGGCAAGCCTCTGCTTTTGTGAGGGTGCAGCCAGTCCTCTCCACTCCATCCCTGCACAGCCTCCACCAGAGATTTCCATGAAAAAAAGACCTGGAGATTCAATTCTCTCCCTCCCAGTGGGCACTTCCGATTTTGATTAACCTGTGAAGAGCACCATCCTTGACCTGCAGAGAGGATGGGCCGCTGGAGCCTTTGTTTCACAGCAGAGGTCAAGTGAGAGAGACCTAGGCAGTGAGAACACTTGGCTACATCTGGCTTTCCAATTAACTTTCCAAAAGCCCCATGGCAAGTGTTTCTAATAACAAACAGCTTTGCCGGTTCCCAGACCCACCTGCCTGGGATGCTGGAGTTTGAGAAGTGACAGAACCAAAACTCAGGACCCAAACAATATGCCCAGCAGATGGTCCCTGGCCATATGTCCAGGCAAGGAGGAACAGCTGGCAGGTCTCTCAATGCCAAGATCTGAGCAAGACCACCCTGCTCCACAAACAGCAGATTTTGGAGGGTAAGTGTCCTGTGGATTTTGCTGTTTCTCCCAGGCTGTGGCTCTCAGCCTTCTGGACAGTGTAGTTACAATAATCGGAGAGAAAAGCCATCAGTCCCTGTCCATGTAGGTCCTGCAGAGAGAGACAGGCATCACTGTTTTCTTGAAGGACACATGCCTGGTTTGCAGAACAGTTTTTAATGTCTGCTTTGGTGCTGCTGCCTTTGCTGTGGTTTGGGAAAGTGCAGAACACGTTGCATCTTCAAAGCAGCAGAAATGGCAAATGGTATCTAAAATGGGGCTTTGCCTACACCAGTCAAAGCCCTGATATGCCAGGACTGGCACAATTCCACACTTTTCCCGCTGCAAAGCCTACTGTGAAGATGATCCAGTTTCCTGGGGAGCTGGTGATAGGTCAAAAGGATGGCTGAGCACTGAAGACAAACACGGAAACCCTGGCCAAGGGGCCACTCGGAAAGACGTGGGATGACAAATAGTTTCCAGATTTTTGTTTGGAGGTTGAAGTTTTTGCTCAAGCTCAGAGCTGCTTAACTTCTGGCCAGAGAGGGACAGTGCAGCGATAGTGGCAGAAACAGACAGTCTCCATGATTTGGCAGCTCCCAGGATTGCATTCTTCATACAATCAACATTTTAAAAAGAAGACAAGGAAAAGCAGCCACCCAACAAAAACAGTCTCTTGGAATCACTCACTGCTGAACTGTTGTCTTGGCGTGATACTGTGCAAATCACGCTGCTGTCCTCCAGAGAAAGAGGCAACAGTCTGTAGTCTACAGAGGAAGCCAAATTGCACCATTTCCAGGTTTTTCTCCCTAATTCTTTTTTTAGCACTTCTTGTCCGGGGAAGTGTCCAACCGGGAACCAAAACTAATGAATTGTGGCTAGGCTCTTCTTGCTTCTTGCCTTTTCAGAAGCCAGCGGTGGACAGATCCTCTAATTTATAGCCTATCTTCCCTCCTGGTCACTGGCCAACAGGACCAGGTGGTTTTCTATGTATCTTGCAAAGCAAAGCTGACCAAGTTCAACTCTGCAGAACTAAAAAGCCAGTGCAAATGCGATAAGTTCCTGCTAGCATTGTGTACAAAACCAGAACTGCCAGTGCAACATGAGGCATTTTGTGGAACGGGCACATCCCTCAAACCCTGCAAAAGGACTGTTTGGCCCCATCCTCTGCAGGGTTAAACATTCACTGAGTCTCTCTGCAGATAGAGGGAGGAGATGTAACCTGAAGGTAAAGGTTTCCCCTGCCAGTGTAGCTCTGAGGTCTCTCCCAAAGGATGCTTATTGCTTCACTGTGGCAAACCTCAGTCTCACAGCCCAGAAAGCCCGTTCCCTCCTCCCCCTTCCCTTCCCTCATCACCACACGGGATCGCTCTGGTTAAGGCAGAGTTGCACACTTGTTTATAGCTCTTTCCTGGGAAACCCTTGTGGGACTCAAACAGTCCAGTTGTGGTGTCTCAAATTGCTGAAGAAAGCATTTTCTTCCCCAAAATGGGAGAGTACATAAGGAACCTGGGCTTTTTGGCATCGTAGCATAGCTTTCAGGGTAGGCAAGATGCCACAGTGGTCACCTGATGAGCATGGTACAGGATTTACCTCATCCTGCTGCTTCCATCTACATGAGTGCTTCAAAATCTGCTGAAGTCTGGACCATATGGACCATAAACTTCCTGACTTGGCTCACACATTTTTTATTTTTTATTTTTTTTTTTTTTTGAGATTGAAAATCCCTAAGTGAAGTGGTATCTTTACTGGATACCCACAAATCTACGGTCACTGTGACCTGGGGTGTCACAGGTCCCAAAAACTGAAGAACTGGGAAAAATTAACAGCCAGGACATTTTCTTTTTTGTCTGTGTTTTTAAGTGGGTGATGAAGAAGCTGCCAAACACATCCCAAGCCAGTGTTTGCTGTACCTGATCCCAAACTGGTAGCCAGTTCTGGCTAGCTAGCAAGAGGTGGGGAAAAGACTTGGTGCTCATGTTCCTCTCATCACACTACCTAACTCTCCTTTTTCTCTTAGCTTTCAGAGGACCAAAAAAAACCCAACCAACCAATCAACCAAAAAAACCAACAACCAAAACCAACCAACCAACCAAACAAACAAACAAAAAAAAACAAACCAGAAAAGAAAAACATCATCTCCAGAATTATTTGTGAGGAAAATGAATGTGCTGGGACTTGAGATTAGGGGAGGAGGAGAAGGGGGATGGTTGTGTTTAGACACCAGTGATCTGTGAGGCTTGTCTTGCACAGAGCAGCACCCTGCATTAAACGCCTCCGGTTTATGGCAGCAAGAATTGCCATAAAATGAGCTCAGCCTCTGGAATATACTCCAAAAGCCTAGCATATGGGCTAGGGACACCCATTTAATTAATGTAAAAACTTCAAGGAAACTGCTTGCAGTCCAAAATGGAGCTGCTCCAGCATTTTCTTGGCCCTATACAAGCTGGAGTGGGGATGAGAGATTTCCCCTCCTTCCCAAGACACTTTCCCCTTGGAGGAGAATTAGGTGTCTCTTCAGAGAGTACTAGGATAATTGGTCAGAGGCTGGAGGAAAGGCTCTGTAGAGAGTACTTAGGGTCTATCAAAATTCATTTCAGTTCCTCTAAACTGCTGTCTCTGTTTCATCCTTCCCAGGGACAGCCTGGAACAAGAGGTTTTCCTGGATTCCCGGTAAGTGTAACTGTTAATTTATGAGGTACGGGTGTGTGATGTTACTAGGAAGCCTCATTAGTGCCTGCTGTATCTCATCATTTCTTCCTGAAACCAATTACCTGATCTGATATCACTGGAAAAAGTAATTCTTTCTTCATTTGTTTTTCTTTTTTTTTTTCCTTTCAAGTGATACTTAGGGGGGAAAAAACTCCAAACCACACAACTCCAGAAGGAAATTAATTTAAAAAAAACCCCAAGTGTTAAAATAACATAGGTGAAGCCAGATCTGTTCGATAAAAGAAAACTGTCCTAAGAAATATCCCCCAAAAAGAAAATAACCCCTAGGTAGATGAAATTCCAACCTTAATTGAGCTTTTAGGTGATATTCCAATAGCAGGAAGTGCCTGGGATCCAAAGGGGGCCCTACATGGTCAGGGTCAGCTGGGGACTGTGCTGGGCCGAACACCCTGGTCATGCCAAAGGGAGAGTACATAAAACATGAGAGGGAATTCTTCTGAAACACTGTTGCAGATGGGCAAGGGAACAGAGAACAAGCCCAGGAGAGGACAAAGCAAATTTCATTTCAATCCTACAGCTGCTGGCAGCACTCTCTGAAGCACTGAGGCTGCTGGAGAACTCAAACCGTTGCTATTTATTCATATGCATTTATCCTGGACAACTAGGGAGCCTAAGGCAAACACCCCCCACACCCCTGCTCCCGCCAGGCAGCTCAGCTGCTGCTCCAGGACACTGGATGTGCCAGAGCAGGTCTGCGGGGGGAGACTCTCCTGCCTGGAAAATGGGAGGAATTGGCAGCCTCTGAGCTGTCTGACCAGGCTCCGCGGCTCTGCCCTGTGCTGAAAGGGGGGGCTGTGAGCTGCCCCGGGGCTGAGGAGAAGCAGATCTCCCCGGGCCGTTGTGGTCTTTGGCTTTTGGAGGAGCAGAAAACAAATCAGCCCAGCTCATGAGAAAGTGCCGAGTGGGACAGCGCTCTGTGGAGCCTGTTTCTCATCAAACAGTACCTTCAGCATGTGCTGAGCTGTGTGTCACCTCTTCCCAGGGACACTTTTATTATTTTATCACTTGCAAAAATGCCTCTTCCCCAAAGGCATATGCCCTTTTAAGTTGAAGTCTTGAGAAAACTGCTGATTTTCAACTAGTTTACTGGACACCGTAGGATTTTAAATTTTGAGGGCTTTTTGCAAATTGCCTATGAATCCCTCCTCTCTTCCCTTCTTGTGTCCAGCATTGCTGCTGAAATGGGCTGACAGTGAGCAGGTCCCTGCTGGAGCAATTGGGAATCTGGGCTTGTACTCAGTGGGCCAGGTACCTGCCAGGACTCGGCCAGAGGGCAGGGAGAGTCACCTCACCTCACCCCAGTCCGTGCAGTCTCATGGCACATGGTGCTTCCTGGGGCAGATGGACAGACACCCCGGGAAAAGCACTTCTCATCATTTTTCCTTTTTTATTTCAGGGCCCTATTGGCTTGGACGGCAAACCGGTAAGCAAACAACTTCTCTGCAGCTTCCTGTCCTGCCTCCTGCTAGGTCCCACTGCCCTGCCAACCTGTGTCTTATACAGTATGCTTTTAAGGGGACTATTTTGCAAAGTCATGCATGTGCATGGATTAAAAGAAAATTAGGAGATTGGCAGGTAGGAGGATGCCACAGATGCCTTGGGGGGAGATGCAGGAGTCGGGAGAACTCGGGAAGGCAGAGTGTGGCCTCTCTTTTATAGATCTAGGCAGATCTATAAAATAGCACGTCACAGGGAAAGCCTTAGCAGGCACTCCCAGCCTGAATCAGACAGCTGCCTCAGCCAACAGCTTCCTTTGAAGTTGACCCTACAGCATCTTTCTCTTCACTGCTTTGCTGAAAAGAGCTGCAGTAGAAGAGGGAAGGATCCTAAAGATCTCCATGAGACCTCCATGCTGTCCTTAGAGCCTCCTCATAATCAGCTTTGTAGTAGAGAAGTAGAGAAGTTCTTCCCATCCTTTGGAGAGCCAGGTGCAAACACAGCTACTTCCCCATGAACCCAGCAGACATGAAACCCACAGCTCCATGTAGCAGCCACACAGCCAAGTTCCCCACCAACTTCCTCTAGCCATGCTGCAATGGAAAAGGAGCTGGTAGCTCATACCTCTGGCATCTAATTTCCTGCAGCAGGATCCTGTTTTTGCCACGAGGAACATGATCCCCAAGAGAGACCCAGCAGCCTCTCTCTTGTACTGCTCTGTGGGTACACACTGCACCCAGCAGAAGCTGTTCTGCCAGCCCGAGGGGGGCTGAACTGTGTCCCAGCCATGCCCTGCAGAGCCTTTTCACCCTGTATTCAGCCCCCAGAGCTTTGTTCTGAGCATTCTGCATAGCAGGGAGTGGTGTCCTCTTAGTTGTGTGAGCAAAGCTCGGCGCTGCATCCCCCTTTGGAGGTACCTCCCGAGGTAAGGGGGAAGTGGGGTAAATCAACATCTTCTAGTGACTGCGGTGGCCGAAGCTGATGCATATTTTCCTTCTTTTGCAGGGTCATCCTGGACAGAAGGGAGAGATGGTAAAAATATACATGTTTGTCTGCAGGTGATGGGTAGGTTTGAAATGATGTTGCCTCTCAGCTGGAAACAAGCTCATAGGCAGGGTAGCAATCTTCGTTCAGCTGATGCATGAGCTGCATCCCTAATTCTGTAACTTCATAATAGCAGTGCTGGGATGCACGGCTGTAATTTTTACATTATGGCTATCAGATTCATCATGTCACAACAGCAACTCTCTAGTTATGCCTGGGATGTGTTTTCCTTGCACTTAGCAATTATGTTCTTTAAATATATTCTGGGAGCTGACATTTTTTGTGGTTGGCCTCATAGCAAAAGTAAAAGTTGATGGAAAGATTTCTCAAAACCCATCTGGCAGCTTTCAACTTATCTAACAACAACCAAAAACCCCCATATTTTTTGTATTAAATGTGTTTCTCCCCCCCCTTGAAGCTCTGTTTCATATGTGCATCATTCTTAAAATGCATTTGGTTGAAAATGATAAACTTAGGCCGCACTTGATGGAAGCCCAAATGCGGTCTTGTTCCTCTTGACATCTCTGATGATGAAATCCCAAACATGAGTATGCCGAGCTAGCAGCTCTGTAGTCACCTTCGCTCACTGGAGTGCTGAATGTTTTCTTCTGCTAATTCTGTTTTTTGAGCCCGAGTGTCAGTACACCCCTCTGGCAAGCACATGTTGAAGATCCCTGCTCCCCACTCCCATTGTGCAATCCTAGCTCAGGCTTCAGTCCTGGCTGCTTCTGGTTCCATCCCAGTGCGTCGGCCGAGGAGCCGCGCTGTCAACTGAGGTCCTGGGAACAATAAGGGTGTGTTTTCCTGATGATTTTTCCCCTCTCCTTTTAATAATTCCCCCCTGCAGTGCAGCCAGAACATGTGTGCATTTTTACTCCTCCAGAGTAACAAAAAAAGGGAGCCCAGACTTCTTTTGGGAGTTTTCTCCACAATTGTTTTTAAAAGCTGAGTTTTTCACCTACTCCATACACTGAGAGTTGTTGTCTTCTTGTCACTGTAAATGGGAAACCATCTCATGCTCACATATGTATTTCTTTAAAGGGTGCTGCAGGTCCCAGGGGACAACCTGTAAGTATCCAAGTATCCCATCTCATCCCTATCCCATGTCTCCCCCAATCCCTCTCCCTTGGCATTCACTGAACTCCTTAATTTACTGAGGCCTATTTCGTCACTTTTCTTTTATAGGGACCCCCAGGACAAAAAGGAGAAAAGGTAAATTCAATGGGAGACATGTTAAGAATTAAATGTAAAGAGCAGAAGGGACTCAGTGGACTTGGTGCTGCTTGGTCTGACTTTGGCTGAGAAGTACAGCAAGAGCAGAGGGCTCAGGGGATAGGTGACAGGAGGAAGGCTGTTTGTCAGGTGCAAATTGGTATAACTGCACTGAATTTGATATAGTCACAATGATTTACACCTTCTGGATCTGACCCCGTGTGCCTATTTCAGTCCCCTCTGTTTGTGGTTTAAACTCTTTCCTTTTAATCCTGTTCTTTCACAGGGTCAGTGTGCAGAGTACCCGCACAGGGTAAGTCATTAGTGTTATTATCCTCTGTCCCGTGCCTTCCTGCATGTTAATCCTCCCTCGTTTGAATGGCTTTTTGTTGTAAGTAGAGATCGTCTCATTAACAAGATGCGTCATCTGGGCCCCGAGGGCAGCGCTCGGCTGATTGATGTGTTTCACAGAAAAGCAGCAGATAAGGTTTTCCAGGAGGGATGTTGGTTCTCCGGTCTGTTCCTGCCCACCGGGGCTGACCCCTAGATATCTGCTGTCATTGCTGCTTCCTGGAGATTTGTGCTGGAGAAGGGAAGGTCTTTGTCCTCACCCCAAAACCCAGTGAAACCTGAGGTTTCTGGAGAAGTAGGGGTCACTCACATCTTGTGCTGCTGCACCAGCTCCGTGCTGCTTCCACAGCCTCTGCGGTGGTTGTGTGGCCAGGAGCAGTGTGGGGTTTGCAGACCTGGGGGAAACTATCATCATCCCTTCATTTTTTCTTCTCCCTCATGGTGGTTTCACCCCTGCATAGAGGCAAGAGGCTGTGCTCCCTGACCCACCCACAGTGCTCTGGCTGGTCCCTGTGCCGGTCCCCAAGCCTGGGGGACTTTCTGCCTGCAAGGAAGAGGCTGAGAGGGAGGGTTGATACCAGCAACCATTTAATGAAAGCCAGGATGTTGCCCCACTTGCCTCTTCATTCTGGCCTGGCCAGCATCCACAGCCAAGAGCAGAGAGAGTACATCATAGGGTTTGAGGGGATTTAACCAGTTCTAAAAACAACCAGAGTGCTGAAAATCCACTGGAAATGCATTGGAACGACATCATATGAAGTGGCTGGAATTTGTAATCTGGGTGTACAGGGAGACAGGCTTAAGAGCTTTCTGTTTATTTTTGACGGGCCCCTGGATAATTAGCTGGGCTCTGGTCCCTGGCCCCGAGGGAGCAGGGCTGGGATGCTCGGAGCAGCAGAGCCAGTGGAGAGAGAGCTTGGCTGGCAGCAAGGGAGAAGGGAGCTGTGCGTATGTGCCAGTCCCGGTGCAATAACAGCCGGTCAGCTGTGTTTATTTAGCGAGCGGGCTCACGAGATTGTTATGTTAAAAAGAAGCTAACAACAGTGCTCACCGAGCATCGTCCTGGGTCATGTTACAGCCCTTGGCTTCCACTGTCCCCAGCGCTCAAGGTGAAAAGCAGTGGCAGACCCAAAGCAATACTGGGAAGGGAGATGCAGCTGCTGCATCCCTGGAAGTAGCCTAGGCTCGGGCTTGGGGGCAAAGGCACGCTGGTTTGGTGGCCCGGATTGTAGGGTGACACACTGCACGGCTGTGACAGCGGGAAGGGGATGGGTGCAAAGCTTCACATCTTAGCAGTGTTTCCTTGGCTCTCAGGGAGGTACTTTTGGTTGCATGAGGCAGCAAGTTCAACATTTTCAAAAGCCTATGAGTTGTTCCAAGGCAGAGACATGCTCATGGGAAAGGTGACTGTCCTCAAATCAACTCAAGAATGGGCTGTGCTGAAGGCTCTGGTCACAGACTGTGCAAGCTCAGGGAGCCAGAGGCACAGACCAGTCAACAGAGGTGCAGTTCTCTTTCTTCCTCCCTGAATGAAAATTAGGATGTTGTAAAAATGCTACACAGCTGACTGAATTGCAATTTATTCTTGCTTTTCTGTTTGACAAGGTTCTTTGTCAGATGTTCTGGGCGAGGAAATGAAAACCAGCATCCTGAAAAACCAGGGATGTTGTTTCAGTTTTGTTTCATCTTTGTTTTTGTAGGAAGGAAATACAAAGTCAGGCTATATGCCTTGGCTCTTGTTGTAGTTTCCTATTTTTTTTCTGTATAAGTCTGTATGGCCTGCACTGCTGTGAGGGACGAGCCCAGGCATTGGGGTGAGATGGCCACTCGAGCTGCTCGAAGTGCTGCTTTGGGGAAGGGGGGACGAGCTGTGCTCCGTCTGCTCTCAGAAATGCCGTGTGTGTCTAACTGACCCCGTTTGTCTCACGTGTCTTCACTGTTCCCCAGGAATACCTAAGTACCACCCTTGCAGCCCTGCGCTCTAACCAGATCCTTACGCTGAAGGTTTGTGGGTAATAGTCTGATGTGACCCAGTTCTGAAGCAAAGGCATGAGGATGTGACTCCAATATTGCACATTGCCTTCTGAAAAAACTTCCCATTGGGACACAGAGGAGGCAGGGCAGGAGCTGGGTGGGAGAGCCTTCAGATTTCTTCTCTAAACTTTCCCACTTGCACCTGAATCCATTGCTGGGTCTTGTCTCGCCTCTGTTTTTTCCTCCTTATCCTTTTCAGCATCCTCCTTCTGCTTCTCTGTGAGGTGCATAATATTTCAGATACCCTTCAGCGCTTGAGGAGCCAGTCAAAGCCAGCTCAGCTGGCTCTCCGGAGCTATGGGGCCTCCTGCACTGTCTTTTAGAAAGGGATAGAATTGCCTTTGGATAAAATCAGCCCAGCTGAGTTTCCAGCAGCACTGCTTCTGGAGCGATAGCTTGTGGCTGTCAGGATCGAAGCATTCAAACACAACCACTTGATCACAATGCTGCAATATTGGGTTGCCTCTTCTCTTTGCAACAGGACTGGATCCTTGCTTTCACTGCGCACAAGAAGGACAATGTTCAATGGGATTAAAGTGCACTGCTTGGAAGCGTGCGGTGACTGTGGTGGGAGACGGGTGGGCACACCTCTGGGATCCGAGCACACAGCTCACACGGGGAATGGCGCACGCGGGCACGATTTTGTGTCTGAGCACAGAAAGCCTCTCCCTGTGTAAATCAAGAGCAGCTTCAATGGAAAACTGATAGCAACAGGAAAGTGGATCAGGCCAGAGGAGCATTCCTGGGCCTGGAGCCGGCACGGTGGGTGCCAGGCTGACAGCAGCGTGCATGCAAGTGGAAACTGGATACAGCAGAAGGATGAACAAATGCTCCTGAGCTTTAGTGCATTTGATTTCTGTGTGTCCGGGTCAGCTTTGTACCCTAAGGCAGCATTCCTGGCTATAAGCAGTCAGAGGGTGATGTTACTGTTGAGCAGAAAAAGCAAAGCACCGGCTACCAAGGCAATGTCCTTCTGCAGAAAACTGCCATTTGGATAGTTGCCCCAAATCTGATGATGAGAAATTAAGAGAGACAGTTTCATCACTGCAGATCTTAGCAGAGCCAGTGGGGGTATGTCTTGCAGTGAACAGTGCCTAAGGATATCAGCGGAGCTGAGTTAAAAACCCCCTGGGTAAGCTGTGTTTCTGAGCAGAGGAAGCTGTAAAAGCTCTGTACAGTGGGAGCATCGAGATGGTGAGTGGCCACCCTGCACTTGCCAGGCTGGCACTGCCAGTCCCTCTGTGAGCAGCGTGGGGAGCTCAGAAGTCTGCCCGCAGGTCCCTGTGCTGTGCTCATGCTGGGCTTTATTTTCATGGCAATCTCTCTGTTCCCCTCTTCTCTGTTCTCTCCCCTGGCTACTCTCTGACTCTTGGTGCCCTAATGGCCTCCTTTGCCCTGTGACCTTCTGGTTTGATCTTCTTCAGCTGTTGCCTCTCCTCAATTCAGTGCGGCTGGCTCCACCTCCGGTCATAAAGAGACGCACTTTCCAGGTAGACTTCTCCTCCTCATTGCCTGTTTCTAAGCTTATCCTGATGCTTGCCATTAATCAGCTTGCTACCTGTCTTTCTTCCCCTACAGAGGGGTTTCCAAGAGTTTCAGACAGAGCTGAGGGACTTTCTTTGAAGCAGAGGAAATCTTTGATGTGATAATGTTGCTAAAAAGAAATGCAGTGAAGCCAGTTTTTTAAACTGAAAGAAATGGGCCATGAAACTGTTCTTAGGGCTGTCGACAAGCAGCCTCCTCCCTAAAGGAGTCAGTTCCTGCATATTCAATCTCCAGAAGAGGTTAGAAACCTCTTGCTGAAATGCAGCTAATGTCTGTGAAATTTAACTGAGATGAATGAATAGGCAAACGCTTCTTCTGAGGACTAGTCTAGTCTGAGGCACTTGGGAAATGTGTTTAAATAAGCTCTTAGAATGGTTTCATTAAGTTGCATTAAATCTTTGTGTAAACACATTTATTTTTGTTTCCAGGACCATAATTCATGTTTAGTTTATTTTGGGAATTAATTCATAAAGCGAATTACGGACATATGAATAGTGAATAAGAGTGTCCATAGTCAGAGTTCATGTGGCTTTTAATGAGCCCACTTTAAGCTCCCTCATTCCATCAATTGGGATTAACTCTCCGTGTGGACAAACCGCTGTACTTACCCCGTGAAGTGTGCTGGGCACTCTCTATTAAGTGGCTGGGTTTTGTCACCCTGCTGCCTGTCTAGACAGTTGGATGCTAGCAGGGAACTGTAGGATGCAATTAGAGACCTTTACCATGAGGTGCCCGGTCCTTGCCCAGCGCTGGACAAATCTTGACCTGACCAGTTGAGCCTGTGCTTTCAGTTCAGTTTCTCTCGATTCAGCATTTGCACCACACAGAGCCCCATGGCTTGCACTGTTTGCCCTTTAAAGTGACAGTCTGGAGAGCCAGGCCAAGGACTGACCTCTTGGGAAGGCTTTGAAAGCTGAAGTTCCTCTCCAGGATGAAGTGGGAAACTTGAATAGCTGCCCTACGTCCTGTCGTCAGCCAGGGCTGCAAATTCCCTCTGTCCGCAGAGGCTTTAACTTCACCGGAGAGTTTTGCCATGATCTGTTTTGCTGTTGCTGTTTCGTTCTCCAAGTGCAACAGAGTGTAACCCGCCCCTACAGGTCTGCCAGCACCAGGCAATTTCAGGAGCCCAGCGTATGAATACTAAGAAAAAAAGTGAGGCTGCAAAATGAATGTAGTGCCAGTGCCTGGAAAAGAGGAAAGCCATGCTGCTGCCTCTGAGCACATCAGCTCTGCCCAAGGGCTGGGGCTTAGCCGAGAGAGGGGCTGAGCAGGGTCCTGTGTGAGGAGGCTGAGCAAGAATTGCAGTGCGGGGGCACAGTCAGGGTGGTTGCCTGGCGTTTAAAAGAACTGAAAAGTAGCTACAGTCAATGGCTAAAAATATAGAATGACAACTGAAGAAAATGACACCTGATCTCCCACTTACTGTATCCACCTACTGTCTGGTCAGCTCTGTGGGGGTCCTTTTGTGCTGAACACATTAATAAGACTATAATGATGTGGTAATAATGCTTTGTGTGTTTAGGGATCTGCGTGGACGGGCACTCTCCTCAACAAAACACGCTCTAAGACAGCAAAGCAAGGGTGATGTGAATGGGAGTTTGGGTGAGCTCCTTCCAGCTGCTCCCTATGCTGGGGCAGGGCTGCTGCTCTTCCCAGCACCTTGTCCCCTGCCAGCACCCCTTCCCAGCACTGTGCTGCATTAGTGCCCTAAATCTGGAGCATGGACTGGGCTGGCAGAGAGCAGCTGAGGTGGGAATAGGAGGGAGAGCCAAAGTGAGATGGGCAAAAAGCCCCCTTTGCCTTCCCATGGTGCACCCATGCTGGGGGTGCTGTAAGATGGAGTGGGAGGGAAGTATCTGAAGTTGGAATGAGAGGTCAAGGCATGAGGAAATCTAGGAATATACTCCAGCGTCCTCCCAACATCTTCATTAGATCCAAAATTACCTTCCACATTTAAAAGCTATGAGACCATTTACAGGACAGTTGAATAGCACTGAGTGTGGAGGATAGTGAAGCTTAGGAAAGATCCTGTGTTCCCTTGCATGGGCCATAGGATACACTTAAAAAATGGGGGAAAGTGAGGATGCCCCCCCTGCCTGGCCCAGCAGGCTTCCCAGTGTGGGCTGTGGGTCCAGTGGTGAGGAGCAGGAGAAGAGCTGTGGCTCTACACATGACTGAGCTTCTTGTGAGCCTGGCCCACGTGTTGGAAATTTTCTTTTAAATAAAGCTCATGGAAGAAGGGATGAAATTTGCAGCTTATTACTTTCATCTATCATTCTAAATAAAGCAAACATCCCTGTATCTGCATGTTTTACTAAAGGCAGCCAGGACAAACAGCACACTTGGTAGGAACACATGCAGGGCACAGATTTCATGCGTCCTCCTGCAGTGTATAAGGCTGTAGAGAGGATAAATGCAGTGGAGACCCAACCGCACACCTAGTGATTTTTAACTGAGAAACAGCCATGTTTGATTTCTGGCTTCCCATGGATCCACCAAGTAGCATTTTTCAAATTTAACTTGGATCACTAACAGTGATCACCGTCATGCTACTTTATCCAGGGAGGGGAGCCTGTGAGACGAACAGCGCAGCGCGGGTGCCACAGTGCCTCAGGATCTCGCTGGATTCATCAATTATGGATCAGCAGTCTGGTATTCAAACGTGGCGCTTCCAACCCACTGTCTCCTCAGCGCCGCTGGGTCCCACGTCCAGGTCCTTGGGGCCAGATGACATTGCTGAGGCATGAGCCACAGCCCCCGAACGGCTACTGAGGGCCTGGGGAGGAACCGGCTCAAACGGCCCCGTGGCAGAGAGCTTAAAATGGCAGGTGGCTCGGCAGCACTGCCTTGTTAAATCTTAGAAAAACAGGCTATGCCTGGTGCACATGGGCCTGCCTTGGGTGGGCTCCAGAAATGCCATGATGATCGTGTTATTTTCTTTTGGGTTTGCGGCATTTCTACTTTTGGTCCTTGGCAAAACAGAGGGAGTGTTGTCCAACAAATATAGCATGGGGGAAAAAAATAGGCTGAGGTAAGACACTGCGGGTTTGCCTGGAAGTGCCAGTGTGGTCATGGGAGGCTTTGCTTCACATGTGACTGTCAAGTGCTTTGGAAAGCCTCCTCAGAGGCTCAAGAGACGTCGGTCTTTCGCATAAATATTGTACTTGACCGACTCAATGAAGAAAAAGGTCTCTTTGGACTGCTCTGTCATCTATAGATCCCTTTAGAAGAGAGGTCTGATCAGGCAGCTTTGGATGTCTTTGCAAACCGTAGGGTGCTGGCTCCTGCCACCCAGGCAGCCCAGCCATCCTCAGCAGGGCTCTCCATCACTCTTGGAAACTTCTCCTGGCACTAACCTGTGACTTGCTTCTACCTCATCTGCTTCAGCCAGGCTGGTCTGCCTTGAGGCCTTGGGGTGGTGGTGTGAAGGGTTTGCTCTGCCAGCTGATAACCTCTTGCTTTACAAACCACAGGGTGAACAAGGACAAGCGGGGATCCAAGGTCCCCCAGGGCCCCCTGGACCACCAGGGCCCACTGGACCGGCTGGACCTGAAGGAACCCCAGGACGTCCTGGGCCAGTTGGACCCCCTGTAAGTCCAATTACTGAAAAACAAATTCTTCTGCTTCCCCTTCCCCTGGGGCACAGGCAATTTCCTCTGGCCTCTCTTGCCTCCGCTGAAGCTGAGATAGTCACGGACAGGAGACTTGCAGAGGATGTGGATGTGTGGAGAGGATGAAGTTCCCAGGAAGGAGGGGAGCGGGAGGGAAGGCGGAGGTGTGCACAGGGCACTGCTGCTATCTGGGCACACAAGGGGTGACACCAGGCTCATTTCCTCCTTCTCAGACCCTGCAGAGGGCCCCGGAGAGGAAGTAACACGAAGGGTGTAATTGTTGTGCTCAGAACAGAAACCTGACTGATAAGAATCCCTGCCACCCCTTTGAAGTCCTGTCCCTGCTCTAGCAAGCAGCCAAGGAGGGAGAGGACAGAAGCACCATTTATAAAGTCATACCATTGCTAAATGGCAGGGGACAGGGCAGAAAACCCTGCTAATGTACCTCTCTTTTGTAACAGGGCAGAGTGGGAGAACCTGGGAAGCCTGGCAGAGACGGAAAGGTGGGTACCAGGAATCAGCTCCGTTCCTGGGAGCTGAAGGGGGAGACATGGCACACTGGCTCTGCAGCCTCTGAGGAATGAAAGGAGTTTCCATCTCAAAGAGTTTTCAAGGCCTGCTAGCAGGACAAGCAGGTCTTTTCCCCAGAGGCAAAAGCACCTCTCCACATGTAGTACCGGAGTCAGGGATCCTGTAAGCATCCTATTTCTCTCTGAGCTCTGAGGAGCCAAGGATAGGATGGCTGAACACTTGAATTGCCATAAGCAGGCAACATCAAGGGTGGTATAGGCATCAGAGCATATCTAGAGTAGTTTCCCCCTTCTGTCTGCTCACATACAGCTCTGCCACGGATATTTTGTTTATTTATATTTACATACACACATATCTGGTATGTTTCATGGTTCATATCAGGTTTGCTTATTTCTCATTTAAAGACATGAATGGTTTGTTTGTTAATATATTCTCTCTATTTAGCTGCAAATGCCTGATTTACTCCAGAGCTGCACAGTGGGTACAAATTTCCCAGGCGAGCCAGAGAAGCAGAAAAGGTTCTAGAGCGTAATGCATAAGGCAAAGCAGCTCTTTGGTTTTCAGATTCAGCTTGATCAAACCTGGGGAGATGGAGCACTACAGACATGGATTTATTTGAGTGTATGGGTTAAGACAGTATTCATCTACATGAAGAATAGATTGGGGGTGTTTGAGCTCACCAGCATAAATCATCTCTGTAAATCATCTCATTTCAAACCAAAGCAGCCAGCGTCTCCTATCACCCTGCAGTCCATGTAATGTCTACGTTTGCCAACCCCAGTGTCTGTTTTGATTTTATCCACAGGGCTTACCTGGGCCTCCTGGACCAAAGGTGAGACATCTCACCTCATTTAGAGGTGTAGCACAGTGATAAACGGGGATGGATACTCCTGGTGAGGACAGATGTGTACATTTTGACGGATGGAGGAGGGGAAAGGAGGTTACATCAAATCGCTGAGAAAGATTTCTGACCCAGCTTAGAATTGCCTTTGGGGCCCAGCCCGTGTGCTGATTCATGGGTTTTGTCCAGGCGACACGTCTGAGTTGCATCTTGACTGAGCCAGGCACGCCTCATCAGCCCCTCTTGCAAAATTGTTTGCCACACACAGCTTTATTGGCTTCTTCCATTCTCAAAGCATTTCCCAGCGCTTCAGGAATGGATTTTGCAATGCTATTGTTAACTCCGCCACGGGTTCCCATTTATTCACTTGCCAAAGTGCGAGGAGGGGGGTGGTTGTTGTTGTTTTTCAGCTGCAGCCACCCACCCTAATTAGTTTTTATCTGAGATATGTAGCCAGGGTGAGGAGATGGGAACCATGGAGCTGGGGCACAGAGCTGGCACGTGTTATCCGGCTGCCAGGGCTTACTGTGCCTTTCCTGCCAGGACTCAGCCCAGTGCAAGTAATGGTGACCCGTGGGTTTGAAGGGTCAGGAGCTCAGTGGAGTTGCTCTGAGCAAAAGAGGAATTTCTCCCCCTGGAATGCCCTCCCACCCCAGCAGTAAGTAAGGGAAAAGAGCAGAGATTTGTCCTTCTCGGGCCAAGCCTCACTTTCTTTTGTCTTTTTGCCTTTTGCAGGGAGAGGCTGGGATTCAGGGATACCCTGGCAGAAAGGTAAGAAGGGGAGCTCCAGTGCTGTTAAACGAATTAAGTGCACTGATGCCCTGTGGAATCATGGCTGCAAATCAGTGGACTACTCTGGAGCCCTCTGTGGAGCTCTGCTCCCACTGGACATGGGGCTCTGGCAGGCCCACAGATCTCTTCCTGTCACCCACATCAGGAGAGCCTGGGCCCAGAGGTGTCTTTAACTCTCCAGCAGCTATGAAACAGAGTCCCCGTGTGTGTGCCCCTCTACACCCACATCCAGGCTGAAATGCAGGTCTTGTTTATCCAGACCTGAACAGGAGGCTGGAAAGGGCCAAATCCCTGGCTGTGTACTGCTCTCTGGAATACAGGAAAGAGTCCTTAACCTCCTCCAGGTTAAGAGGCAGAAGCTGGCAATGTCCGAATGCCTTCAGCAGCAGCTGATCAGCAGCAGGGTTGTCAAGGCTGGAGGGTGTAATGAAGAGACAGAAAGAGAGACAGGGGAAAGACACAAGGAAGATCAAAGGGGAGAGAGAGAATAAAGAGATGTTAGCTGGAGAAGGGGAAGGTGAATGTTCCCAGCAGGCAGGAGTCCTGTGTCCCCTGTTATCTCCACCTTGCTTTATGGGTGCTCTGCGAGTAAAATGGCAAGACCTGAGAGCTTTTTAATTAGATCTGTATAAACTGAGAAGTTTTTGTTATGTCAGGAAGTGGAAATTATAGCCCCTGCAGACCACAGCCCACTTCTGCAGACAGACACAATTTATTGCCCCTTCTCCCGGTGAACTGTTGGATTTTCCATTAGGAGCCCATCCTGTTCTGTGTGCGCTGGGCGGGCGGTCCCGGCAGCGACCTCACAGCGAGGGCTTCTGCTACCAGCTCCTCTTACACAAAACCACTTGTCTGGCTAATTTACTTCCGAGCAAAGAGCCTGCACTGATCTTGGAGGAATGAGCCCAAGGTTGTGACCTTTCTCTGGGAAAGGTGGAAGGAATAGATGAAAGTAGGGGAGCAAATCCTAAGAAAAGGGAAAAGAAAGCAAAATGTAGGGGAAAATTGTTAACTCAGATATAATACAGGATACGGGACCACTCCCTTCCCGACATTTCACACACATCTTTTGTGATGCAGAATGGCGCTCCTCTCCCAGAGAGACCCAGGTGGTAGGTTGGTGTGTGGGAGGCACCTCAGTGTGGGACATCCCTCTCACACCTCTGCTGATCTTCCTGGCAACCCACAGTTCCTTTTCTTGCTGCTGTGTTTTCTCCTTCCTCCATTTTCTTCTCTTCCTCAGGGTGAGGTGGGCGAGTCAGGCCTGCCCGGTGCCCGTGGCCTCCCTGGAGCCTCTGGCCCCAAGGTAACCCTTAAACTCGAGTCAGTGGGGGCATCTCCCAAGGGCAGATAACTGGCCCACAAGGCTAGAGTCAACTAAAGGATGTCAAAGGCTGGGGACTGGAGGCAGTTCTCTAGAGCCCGTCATGAGCCATGTAACCAGGAACACTTGCTCCTGAGTGGGGAGCCTGGGCAATTGTTGGCCAAGGTGATTTCATGCTATCTGAACCAGTACCTGCACAGGGTTTCATTATAGAATAAAACTGACCCAGCCTTTAGAGGCTTTTGCACCAGGGTTGAGGGAATGGGCCATGAAACATTTTGACGGTTTCTACACCCAAATCATGTGGAAGAACATTAGTATGGGTGACCTCCAGCATCTACTCCAGAAACCTAAACTGCCTTGCATTCCCCGGGAGGGGTGGGCTGCAGCCAGTGCTTGGGCTGGTACCGTGTTGCTGTCAGGAGAACCAGAGGCCTGGGGTTGCATTATCACACCCCTCTTTTGGCTGCTTTCTCTCTGTCCCTCACTGTTATGATTGCTTGCTCAGTTACTCTTTATGTTCACTGTCCCTCTCTCTGTTCCCCCCCCCTTCTCTCTCCTTTGCTGGGCAGGGTGAAAAAGGGGACGCTGGCATAAAGGTAGGCATGAGGAATATGTTTCTCTAAGGCGCGGTAGATCACCTGGGAGATAGATACTGCTCCTTGGGCTGATGGATTGCAAGGGGAAGTTGGGTCCGAGGCAGCTCTGTGGGGTATTTAATGGAGTGCACATCTGTGCTCTGATTAACCACAGACAGGCACTCTGAGCTCAGGCAATAAAAGCAGCCTTTATCCGTTCGGTGGAATTCGATTCTTACCAAAGGCATTTCTCTGACTATGAAGCTTGCTAGTGATTTGTTACATCTCTCTATTTGATGGGCTAGGTTGGGGTTTCCTCATAAAATCTGGTTAGCTGACGCATCAAATCCGCTCAAACTCTGCAACTCAGGCTGAGGTTTGGCACCAGGCGTTTCTGTCTGTTTCTGGACACTTTTTACAGGCTCATATGGTCTGTGCCCAGATGTTATCTATTTGACTGAAATTTACTGTACCCATATATTTAAAGTATATTACTCAATGTAGGCTGTGCTTAAAACATTACAACATTGGCTAGTGTTCATGGCAGTCAGAGCACACTGTGTCATTCCATACATCTTAAACATCACGAGGAAAGACCGGTCCTGTAATACTTGGAAAAGCATTAGCTGTGACACGTACATTTCAAGTATTTAGTGCGTGGCATGCGGCTCATTTATCGTGCAGCACATACACTTTCTATATCTTTTCCATCTGGGTGGATTATTGTTTGAAGGGAGAAAAGGCCCCTTCAGAGGTTACCAGGGATGTGTAACGTGGAGTTTAAAGAAATGTTCTTAGGGAATGCAGGATCTGGGTCCTTAGTTGAATAGAGCAACAGCAATTGTCTTCCTACAAGAAAACTATACCTCCTCAGAAATACTGAGATGCCTGTACAGTCCAAAGGTTCCCTGTGTTCATCTCCACATCAGTGTAATTCCATCAAGCACAAAGGCATCGCTCCTGTTTGTGCCAGTGTGAATAAAGGTGGAATTGCACTCAGAACTGATGTTTTGGGGCTCAGAGTTTGTTTTCATCTCTCCTGTTAAGCAGAACTGAGGGACTGAAGTCATCGAGTGTAGCCTGGGGGGAAGGAAAGGCTGGAAGGGGAAGTTGGGTTTCACCCCTGCTTATACTGCCATGTTTCACTGCCAGCAGACATCTGCTCTGCTTGTGCACATCTAACCAGCCCTTCACTAGATCTCTGGCAAAGGGAAGTCTCCAGGTATTACAGTGATGTCTCAGGGCCATCCACAGGCAAGAGCCTTCCCCCACTCAGGGTCATGCTGGAGACACACTCTTCCTACTTGGCTCCTTATTCATCCCACGTCGCAAAGAGCAGAGATGAAACCGGAGACACTTTTTTGTGATACTAAATTGCTGCTCCAAAGGGGCACCTCCCCAGACCCAAAGTGGCGTCTTCTTTCACACACAGACTTTAATTTGGTATTGTCAGGATCACTTTTCTCTCAACTTCCTTTCTTTTTGCTCAGAGGAGTTGAAAGGGAAGTGCAGAGGTACCCTTAAATCAGCAGCCAGACCTCACCCAGTAGCAGCTCTTGAGCGTCCGACAGCACGTGCATTTGTTTTCTTTGGAAATTGCTTCTTTCTGTTGTCTCCCACCTAAGAGGATTGATTTAGATTCTGGAAGACTTTTAATGCTTCCAATGTTGGATCCAATTATCTGGGCTAGATTCTAGCTTCTCTTAGCTTTGAGGAGCCCTGGACAAACACTATTATTCATGGTTTAGCTGTCATGACCAATTTTGCATGGGATATCACTGCTTTGGCTGGCAGTGAAGAACATCTCAGGCCTGAAGAGGTTTGCTAGCTTAACACAGAGCCGGTGCTAATTTAACCACCTCTCCCCACCCAGTGACAGATGCAGCACAGTTTAGATTCTCTCTCTGTGGCCTTGTACTTTGATCATGTAAGGACCTAAATCTGTGTCCCATAGAGGTCATTAGCCAGTGACTGTGATCACCTGGGCCTCTTGAATGAGCATTTGACTCACTGCCCCCAGCCTGTCACATTCAGCTTCACTGATGTTTTCTTTTTTCTGAAAGGTCTGTAGGATGAGGCTTTTTGTCATGCTCTGAGGAAGAGGAGCAATAAATAAAGTGCCCACAGCCTTGCTATATAACCCCCTCATAATCTGCCTCTCCCCTCACGGAGCAATAAGGAAGGGTGTCTGCTTTAATTGGGAGCTAACGAGCTAATCAGCCTGGGGCTTCACCGGCACCCCGTGGGGATAAAGCTGCTCACACCAGGTGGAGGGTAAGCGAGTGTGAGGGGAGAGGTGCAGCCTAACTTTTCGGGAGAAACGGGAGAGGTGTTTCCTAAGTCGGCGTGAAGCTTGCGAGAGCTGGGAGATGCTGCTGATTGCCTTCCTGGAGCCCACTGGGGACTTGTGGTGGGTGTTTTGCCTTTTGTACCCACCTTTGGTGATGTTTCCGAGCTCTTGGCTTGGCTGCACCGTTCCGGTGCTGCTTCTGATGGGCTGCTGCTGTCTGGCTACAGCGCCCTGTGCAGCTCGGAGGGCACCGGGGGATCACAGAGGGATCAGCCCAGCGGGTGCTCGCTGCGCTACAATGGCTTTCAAACACATAAGGGTTTAAAGATGTTTTGGAGATGTTTTTCTCTGGCTCCGGGATTTCATTCTGCTCTTCAGTGGTGCAGTGTCACGTTTGCTGCTCCCACTCTCTAATTAGCTCTAGTGCCTGTGTGATCCTGCCGGTGCCGGGGCAGTGCCAGCGGGCTGAGGCCATCTTCAGAAAACACAGGGTGGGGTGGTTGCTCTGTAACTTGCCCCCTGTGGGGGGTTACCCTGCTGCCTCTCGCTGAGGGGGCTCTGCTTGTGCAGAGCTAAATAATTAAGCATCTCTTCAGGCAGGCAGTTCTTCCAGGAAAGTCTCTGGGATGAGGAATTACTGTCACAGTCAGGGCTGCCCTGTGGGACAGCGTGGGTGTCTCCCAGCAGAAAGCGTTGGTCTTCTTTGCTTGATCTCACTTAAAAAAACCAGAGAGCATAATTGGGAAGGACAGTGAGAGAGTGGTCCCCATTTTCCATTACAAAGCATTTGTAATTATTGCTTTACAGCTGAAAATAGGGTAGTTAAGTATGTTGTACAGGGCAGGAGGTGCTCACACTGCCTCGATTATGTGTATTATGGTATTAGAAGGTATTTTACAAAATATAGTTCACAGGATGGCACAATTACAAACAGTGCTTTTTAAAAAAGCATACACATATATCCCTGCTGAATAGTCTTTCCAAGCAAGGACTAAACACCCAGAACAAAGCAACAACAGCATGCAGATTGCCTGAAGAGGTTTTATTTTCCAGTTATCACCAGACAAAATTCAGGTTAACAATACGAAGGCAAGCCTTGGATTCTCTGCTTCTCCAGATAAGTTTGTTTATCCTGTAGTCACTGCAGACTGACTCCCTGTGCCCCTGCAGTATGCCATGCCACGTGGCAGCAGGATACAGACAGAGACTGTGGCACTCTAGTGGGGTTGGTCATGCTATAAGCAACAGGCTTGAGAGGTGCCACTGAAGGGAAAGGTCTCTGGTTAGGACAGTCGGTTGGGTGAGAGTCAGGTGGGGAGAACGGGCCATGTCTCATCTCGCCCAGGAGGGTTTCTCATCACCTGTGCCCTGGGCACTCTGCACGGAGCCCTGAGAGGACTCATCTCCTGTCTCCTGCTCTCTTTCTCTGTGTGTCTTGCTCTGCTTCCAGGGGGAGAGAGGCATGCCAGGGCTGCCAGGAAGACATGGCTCTAAGGTACCTTGTAACCAGAGGAGTGATGCTTGTCTGCCTGATCTCACCCATAGCACTCGCCTGTCCCTGATGCACAAGCATCGCCTGGAGTTGTGTGTGTGTCCGTTAGTTAGTGACTGTCCTCAGCTGAATTATTTCTGCTTCTAAATTGCAAAACATAGGGCCTAATTTATGCAGGGGATGGTGGGGGAAGAAGTGTTTTAGCAAGCAAATGGCATGCCCAGTCCAAGGACGACTTGCAGCATCAGGATCTTAATGCTTTACGCCAGTGAGAGCGGCCAGTGCCAGTAGGGAATTGGTGTTTTGTAAATTGGGCGTCCCAGGTGACCGCAGCAAATGTGGGATCAGCAGGGCCAACCCAGACTAATGCAGTGGTGAATCAGGGTCAGTGTGTGAGCAACCTTGCATGTCTGTGCCTTGCAGTTTAAGGATAAATACTAGAGAATAACCTCATCCACACTCACTGCCATCTGAAGGCCGAAGAGTGAGGAACAGGCATCCCACCTGCACTGCAAAAGCCTAACCCAAAGCTGCTTGCTGCACGTTATCCCTTTTCATGGCTCTAGCCTGTATTCACTGAAACCTACTGACCCTGAGACAATCTGGAATGCTTTTTCCCCCCATTTATTGCATAGAATCCCTGATCTCCATCTTCTGTCCTTGTGTTTTTTAGCTTTTGTCCCCGATTTCTGTTTCAGAAAGCTGAGAGGTATGATCCTGCTGCTCTCTGGCTCCCCACTCCTCCTTGTTTGAACTTTTCCAAGCTCTTTTCACTTTCAACTTGGCTCCCAGTCCTCCTCTCTGCCTTGTGCTACATCCCAACTCCTCACGTTTCCTAACTTCTAACACCATTTCACTCCCTGCCCTCTCCTTAGTTGACCCTCATATTTGTTTTTGTAACTTGACCTTTTTGCCAGGACCTAACTACTACTAATACAGGGCATTCAGAGATTTCAGAGCAGAGGGTTGATAGGGAGACCTGCTTTTTGCATTAGTGCTGTTGAGGGCAATGTGGCAGTGCCTATGGGAGCAGCTGCTGGGGGCTCCGAGGCTCCTGTCTGGGATGGCAGGGCAGGCTGGACCCCACTGTCCTGTGGCGGTGCCTCGCTCTGCGCTGCAGAATGACTCCTGAATGGCAGATGTGTGGCTTCAGAGCTCTCCTGAAAATGTTTTACTGCAGGGTTTGTCTTCTGTGATAAAAACAGAATGATGGGAAATAGCAAGGCCAAGGCTCTGGGGTACGAGCTGGCCTTTCTCAAGATGCTCGAGCTGATGTATCTGGGCTCAAGCACTGAACTGGGGGTTTGGTCCTTAGTCTGTCTTTGCATTCCTCAGTTAATTTGACACTGTTCATCTTGTTGGCCTTTGCTTCATTTGCAAGACTAAAACCAGGATGGGGGGTGGAAATCTGGTTGTCTTGACTGGGTTGTGCTTTGGAGGAGCTTTCTGGAATGCAGAGCCACTGCCACAGGTGAATGACCTGCGCAGGGAAGGAGAGTGTGTGCTGTGTGGTGTTACAGCATTACTTCTGAGTTGTGGAAAGGAAAAGATGTGGATTTTTGCCTTTTTAGTTCCACCTGACTGATGCTGTTTTGCTTTTTAAAATTTTGTGTCTGATTAATTTTCAAACAAGGTGTTCCTCTCTTTCCTCTCTCTGCCAGGGCGCTCCTGGGATGGCCGCTGCAGGGATGAAGGTCAGTTTTACACTGCAGTGCCTTGAGTAGGGCACGGGATGGGGTTGGGAGAGCGCAAGGCGCTGGAAAATGGTCGGACAGCTCCCACTAAAGGGAAATATCAGAACTGCCATGCCTTTGGCAGAGGTACTGGACCTGTCTCCAGCAGCAGCCCTGCTACCCGGCACCGCTCTCGCAGAGATTGGTGAACTCGGATCATCACAGCCTCCCTCAGCCACAGCTGCACCCGCAGCCTTGCTCTGCCCCTCTGCACGCACAGCTGGGAGCAGGCAAATTCCAGGAGATGAGTCTTGTCTTACTATGCTCCCTGGTGCCTGGTAAGCCTCTTGAAGTACTGCAAGGTGATTACTCAGTTTTGTAGAAGCCATTACTCTCAGGTTTGCTGGTTTCTTACAGCAGCCTGGACACTGGCTAATGAAGATAAAACAAACTCCAGGCACAAACGTCTGCACCTAAAGCATTCTTGTGCCCTTATTTACAAGCCCAAAGGCCCCACAGATGAAGGCTCTTTACTCTGATAGCTCTAGGAGGATTTGTACTCTCTCCTCTGGCTTTTCACTTTATTTTCCTGTCTCTTCCTCACCAGGGCGAGCCTGGGACTCCAGGAGAAAAGGTACTCTCAGAAGGCTTTACTGTGAGCCTGCACTTCTAGTTGGTTTGTGTATCTTTATTTTTTTTTCCCTCCCGGAGCAGCTGAGGGATGGCTCTGTACTTCCCAGTGCCCAAATCCAGGCCCAAATGGCACCTGCTGGTGTAAGCAAAATGGTAATAGGATACAGGAATACCAAGTGAGAGAGGGACTGTATTGCAAACATTCCCTCCCTCCTACTTCTGTCTGTGTGGGTGGGAATACCCTCCTCCAGCTGCCTGCCTCCTCTCCTCCCTACTCCACAAAACATGCACAGCATGCTTTGCTTAGTGACTATGTTCCCTCTGTCCCTTCCCCATCCCCTTCTGCCTCCCAGGACTTCTGATCCCACCAGCGGCCTTCCCCTGTCCCTGAAGGGGGCTGTTCTGCTGTGCAGTGTCTGCCCATGCTCTCAGTGTAGCCTGACCTGGTCTGAGTTCCTGGGGCAGGCACAGTACAGAAGTACCCCATCCATGAGCTCTCCATCCCTAAGCAGCCACTTTGGCTCCCTGGGAGCAGCTGGCCCCTCTGGTTTGAGGCTGGCTGGGTTGTGTTATAGCGTGTGACAGCCACGTAACAGACACATTCTCTGTCTCTTTTCTTCCCCACAAAGGGAGCTCCTGGAGTCCCAGGGAGGATGGGCCCCCCAGGTTTGCCAGGGAAGAGGGGGCAGCGGGTAGGACATTGTGTGTTTGGACTGGGTGTCCTGGCAGTGCCGTGCTGTGTTCCCTGCGAGCGGGAGCTGGCGGGAGCCTGCTGCGTGTTGAATTATTGTGCTTGCAGGGGATTATGTGTCCTTTGCTGGCTCTTGCCCCCTTGATGAAGTGTGTTTGCATGTTCCCGCTTGCAGGAGTGGGGGGCTGGTGGCAGGCAGGGCAGCATGAGATGCCTGGGATGTAGTCTTGTCCTGGGAATGATTAAGGACAGTGCCGCCTCTTTTTGACTCCAGAAATAACACCCTACAGAGGGATTCAGTAATCTGACCTCCCTCCTCAAGAAATCTGCTGCTTTGCACCTTAGTTCTGGCAGCACAGGATGTTTTCAGTAGCCCTTATGGACATGTGTATTCAAAATTAGTCCTTGAATGAAAAGTGGGATACTGAGGCAGAATCGGGGATTCACAGAGGCCTGGGACAGGATTAGCCATTATATCTCTACAAAAACCCCAAATGCCCAGCCTTTTCCTTGGGTTCTGCAAATGTTTTTACTCTTTCGAGGGATAGAAACATTAATTTATGGCAGCAATGTGCACTCTCCAGCAGGGGAGGAAAGCTGTGGGGGTCTTACAGGTGGCTGGAGGCCAAATTACCTTGGAGAAAGGGGTCACTGGGACCCCTAGGATTGCCTGAAAAAAGGATTGCTGCTAGCTAATTATTTTCCATGGAACCACCAGTGCATGTCTGTTCCTGCAGCATTGATGCTCTAGGAGTCTCACTGAGACTCACTGCATGTCAGATGGGTGCCCTTGAGTTCTGATAAGCAGTACCAGCCTCTGCAGGCAGAGACAGGGCTCCAGGAGCCATTGTGGAGAGAGCTGGGCAACATGTGGGGGGAAAGAGGGTTTGAATTGTTCTGTGTAATCTGTACAAGTTGCTAAGTCTTGGAGGTGTGAGGGTTGAAGGTAAGAACACACCTTTCCCTGGTGATGCATTTGAAACATCTTTTCAGGGTAACAGAAACTTCTGATATCTCTCTCTGTCGTGGCAAAATTCGCACTCCCAAACAGGACACTGTGCCTGGAAACCATGGATTTAGCAGCTGGATGGAATGGGGCTGAATAGAACTTAACTTCAGCATAAAGACCACTAATTGAGTTCCAATACTGAAAATATGGCCCAGCTGTCATGGTGAACTAAGCAAAGCCACTTCACCAAGGGAGTGCTGGGTGCCCTCCATTGTTCACTGCCCGTGGCATCCTCTGTGGTGCCTCACACAGCCCAGCCTGCAGCCCTTGCTCTCCAGGCATCATCTTACACCATCAGCTGCTGTCTTAACCACTTTTGCTGCTCTTGTCTTCGCTGCTTTTCACGACCAGTGCGTGTCACAGAGCTTGGCTGCCAACTGAGGCGCTGCACTGCCTGTTTTTTGTAAGAGCACGATGAGACTGGGATTTGGAGTTAGGGAAGATGAGCAAGGCATGGAGAAAGTCCTGTGTGCCAAATAAAATTTGCCCTGGGCAACAACTTCTCTGTAAGTATAGAACAGGGAGATCCTGGGCTGAAGAACTGTCAGGGAAAAGGGTTTAGCAGCCTAGAGTGATAAGGAAGATTCTCAGGGGGACCCTGGATCCCTTTCCCACTCACCTTCCTTTGGAGAGAAATGACAATGATGTGTAGAGATAGTCAACAGGAAGGAAGAAAACATTCACTGCTGGAGGATGTCCTGGCTGTGCCTAAAATAAAATGCCTGGGGAGGGGAAGGAGAGTTTGAAACCAGGAGCAGCTCACCCTTTGGCTGCTCCTCCAGAATGAAGAGTCTGCAGAGGCAGCCCTGACCGTGTCTGCTTTGCCAACAGGGTGAGAAGGGACGAGCTGGTGACCCTGGGCTTCCTGGACTCCCTGGGCCGAAGGTTTGTCTCTTCCCTGATATTTTGTTTTTGGTGGGACCACTCTCCTCCCCTTTCCTTCCTCCCTCCTGTGTGGCACAGCTCTCGCACTCTTAGGTGACTGTGGCAGCGTGTTCCGCAGCACTCAGCTGGATGTTTGTGCCCCAGGGACGTGAGGGGGCACACAAAGGATGCCTTTTGGTGAGGAATTCCATGCGCTCATGCATGGGGGAGAGGTTGTGGTCCTGGGAATGGGACCATGGAACCACATTCCAGTAACTCCTTGTTAAAAGCATGACCTCAGATGTAACGTGGCATTTCAGCCTCCCTCCAGCTCCAAGATCCTTGTGTAATGAGATGGGCTTTTTGGGAGCTGCGCTGCTGTGCTCTGAGTTGGAGGAGTAGCCTTGTGCTTGGAGAGACCCAGGGCAGGTCAGCTAAAGCTAAGCCTTCAAACTGGCTTTTTCCTGGTGCTCTGAGGTTTCTAGATAGAAATCACACCTTTCAAATCAGACTTTCACAAAGTGCTTTTCCTTTGGGCGAGGGGACAGTGCATGGAATGACAGTGGCCATTTCAGGAAGTGATGTAATGGCAAAGGTTTCCTGTTGCTGCCTTTTTATCTGCTGTGTGCAAAGGATGTGGTGTGCAGGTCTGACTGGCTAATGACTACAGTTCCTGAGAGAGACATGGCAAAGGAAGCCACTCTCAGGTGGTTTTACCAGCTCAGTTTTAATAATACAACACAGTTGTGTTCAGGCTGGAGGCCAGGGATGAGGTCTGTGCACAGGCCCTGGGTGGTAAGTGCTGAGCAGCCGCAGGGATGAGGATACCTGTGGCTGCTGGCAGGGCTTGGCATGGACCCCTGGCAGGACTGGCCTGGTTCCTGGCCAGCTCCTGGTTCTGGAGCAGTGCCTTTCTGGGCTATCAAGAGTCCAGCTGATGGACCTTGTCTCGGACCATGGCTCTTGAAGCCAGCAGTTTGGCAAGTGAAATTAGAGGTGAAGAATCTGATCTGTGACACATGCCTTATTCTTCTTTGCAAACAGGGAGAGAAGGGAATTGCTGAGAATGCCTTGGTGGGAGCTAAAGGAGAACCTGGCCCTCCAGGTCTGCCTGGACCCCCTGGACCAAAGGTGAGTGATTTTTTTCCTTCAGGGACTTGTGTGTTGTGAGGGATTGTGCCCAGCACAAGGTGTGTAGAAAGGAGCAAAGGTTGCATTCATCTGTGCCCACCTCTGATTACCTGCTGAAGGGGTGTCAGGTGCTGCAGAATGTTTTAGTATTGTTGTTCTAAATGCTGAAGGTGATTTGTGAACTGTGTTTCTGGAAGGAAAATACCCTGCCTGTGCTCAAGTAACTCCCCTCTAGGCTCTGTGAAAAACCAGTCTGAACACTCCCTCTGCACTGGGTGGAACAGAAGGGCTCCTGGTGGGAAGTCGTGGCAGGAGATTTTGGCTTCCCAAGGAGAAGGGGGCACAGCAGGGGCGCTTGGCTGGTGCAGTTCTTCCTCCTGGAAATGCAAAGCCAAAGTGAAGTCACCCCTGGTGCACACAACACAGACCCATTCCTTTCCCTTTCTCTTTCTGCCAGGGAGAAGCTGGTGACGTTGGCCGGCCTGGTGCTGCAGGGTCACAGGGAGAAAAGGTACAGAGTTTCTGCATAAACCAGCTCCAGGTTCAGAGGTTCAGTAGCTGCAAGTTTGTTCCTACATGTACAAAATTTACTGGAAAAGGAGAATTTTTAAATTAAGCTGTCAAACCCTGACTGTTCCAAAGGACCAGCAGAGAATGATTCCTGGAGTTTGAGCAAGTGAAGGGGCAGGCTCTGTTTGACAGCATGTTCTTCTTGTTACAGGGGGAACGTGGTTCACCAGGAGACCAGGGACCCATGGGCCCAAGGGTAGGTGTTCCTTTACTAATGAGGAGTTTAGGCCCTTCAGAGGGGTCTGAGGATAGTGGGACCATACTGACAGTCCAGATTGTGTCTTCCTGTCACTAAAATGCTCATAACTGGGCAATGGCTGAGTTTGAGACAGGCCATTTATTTCTCCACTCCGTCTCCCACCTCCACATTAGAAGGAAAAAGTCTTCCAAGCCATCTCAGGGTGGCTTGTTTGTAGGAGGAGGTGGGTTTGGGCATCCCAGTCTGAACTCAGGCTCTTGGCCTATGAGAGAAGGGCAGCAGGAGGGTGCTTGGTGCGTGCCCGAGTCCAACAATTGGTCAAAAAATCCAGTTCCTGGATTCTGGCTTCAACTGTACCTCTTCCCAGACCTGCCAGCTTTGATGGTCAAGGCATGGAGATCTGGGCTGGGCTGGCTGCACTTCTGTAGTGTTTCTTACCCTACAGAAGCTTTCTGTAATAAATGAAGAACTGGACACTCATGAAATGGGTCCCTCTGAGCCCCCTTTTTCAGGGTGAACCACAGCTCTGAGCACCCCAAGGGAAGGGCAATCCCAACCCCTGGCTAAAGAGGTGGTACTTTGCAGGGCCCCAAAGGAGAGCCTGGGAAGGACGAAATGATGGACTATGATGGGAACATCAGTGAAGCTCTCCAGGTGAGCAACTACCCTCCTGTCCTGTGAGGTGACTGCTGGATGCTTTACAGTTTTGCAGGGGATGCAGACAGCTGGGAACAAGGTAGATCTGCTTCCTCAGCAGTAGCAGCAAAGGGAAGCACTTGGACTATGTGCCATAGTCCCCTCCATCCCACAGCTCCCTGCATGTAGTGTTTTTGTCAATACCTGGGCACCTTGCTGGGCTGATGGATTAACACCAGTGGGTGTAGAGGTCATGTGAATCCCCTCAGGAGTGGCCTATGGTGTGGGATAGGTGGTGAGTGAAGGTCACCAAAGCTTCCTGGGAAGTGTGCGCTGAGGATGAGCAGTGAGTGAGTGGCTGTGCCCAGCTCTGAGTTAGCCTGGGTTCCACTTTGGAAAAGGGGAAATTGTAGAATAACAGCTCTGTGGGACTCAGAGTGAGGGTTTTTTGCTCTTGTTAATTCTGTAGGTTCCTTGCTCACTTAGGCCAGTGTTACATTAGTGCAGAAGAAACTACCTCCAGGAAAAAGCTTAGTTTTCTGATAACTGTTTTAGTTTTTAATTTTATTTTTTTTCCTGTGTTTTTCTAGGAAATAAGAACTTTGGCCTTGATGGTGAGTTCTGGTCTTTGCTGTGGGGTTTTGCACGAGTAGCCTTATGCCCATCCTAGGCAGAAGGCCTGACAATTTAGATGCAGCTAAAACATTTGGCCTTTGCTCTTGGGAGATAAAGCTGGGGCAGCTGACAGCTGAAGGGAGAGCTCATCTTGCCTTCTGATCTTGAATTCTAATCAGGACTTTGATCTCTCTGCTTTAAGACATAATACATGCTGCTGAGAACAGGGAGTGCTCAGAAGGAGCAGGGAAGAGCAACTCTGAGGACTCTCCCCTGCTTGGCTTCCCAGCCAAATATGATTTTAGGAATCCCTTGAAAAATTCCCTGTGATTTCCCTTTAAACTCCAGAGAGCCTTTGGGTTTCAAAACACAAAAATAAAAGCCCTGTTGATAATATGAAAATGAACTTTTTCTTTATCTAGGGACCCCCAGGACTTCCAGGTGTGGCTGGACCTCCAGGGCCACCAGGACAGAAGGTACTGGCTCAGTTCAGCACTTGCAAAGCTTAAGGAAACAGGAGTAGCCGAGGAAGAATTCCCACCCACAGCTCTTCCCTGTGCCCCTATCTCCCTGTCCAGCGCTCTTGAACTGTCCTGCTGGTCTCTACCACTCCTACTCATGCACTATATCCTGAAAATCTCTTTTCCCACAATGATAATGCCTTATCCGAAAGATGAAGAATCCTTTCTACTTTCCCTCCCCTACAGAGAGCGGCTTGTGGGAACTGCACTCTGTGGGATTGTGTTGGTTGGGGACTGTGTAACAGTACTGGGGCTGTGAACTGGCAGTCAGGATCAACAAGACATGGAAAGTGCTCAGGCAGTCACACAATGTATTGTTTCAGCAGAGGCTTCCATGCTTTATTTTCTGTAAAAAATAAAAAACCCCGGGTTTTTCCACGCTTTTTCCCTGTGATTAGTCCCTGCAGTCATTTCTGCAATGCCTGTCCTTCATTGTCACCGTGAACGAGTCACAACAGCTGCTTTCAAACTGCCAGAGTAACAATTCTGTGTTTCAGGGTGAAATTGGCTTGCCAGGTCCTCCAGGCCATGATGGAGAAAAGGTAAGGCATGATGCTCTTCCCTTCAGTGGCCTTACCTGGAGTCAGTGTGTTCCACCTCTGTCACTGACAGAGCACAGTTGCTTTTCCCACAGGGGAGAACAGTATTTTGCTTGACAAAAGTGAGCATTAATGGTTTATCAATGTCCTAACATTTGTCATGGCAATGCTACTTTGTCCTGTCTCCAAAGGGCATATCCATGAGGGAGAGGATGAGTGCTGGGAGAGGCTCTGGGCCAGGCAGGAGTAAACTTTCTCTTATCTGTAAAAACTTCACTTTGTGTTGTGTGAATTTTTTTTTAGGGACCACGTGGCAAGCCTGGAGAAATGGGCCCCCCTGGCCCTCACGGACTGCCAGGAAAGGATGGACCCCCTGGAATAAAGGGAGAGCCAGGCCATGTCGGGGTCAGAGGAGAGAAGGGCGATAAGGGAGAGCCAGGACAAACAGGCTCACCGGTGAGTAAACCAAGGCCTCCCAGACTACTGGTGGCTACCCAGGTTATGGGCAAGGCCCTGGGACTCCTTGGGCACCTCCGAGCCCCTCCGAGGTGGGTGCTGCTGTGTGAAGTGTGACACTACAGAAGTGAGATCCTGGCATCTGGCAGATGTGCTGTCCCTGCTGCCTGCTCTGCCCTCTGGGCCCTGTGTCACTGCCTCAGCTTGCTGCCTGGCGTGTTGCTGGCACTGACTCTGAGCAAGGAGGCTGATGCACCAGTATGCTCCATCCTGGGAGGGCACCTGCATGGGGTAACCTGTGACATCCTGGCCACTAACAGGGGCACAGTGCCCGGGCTCCCAGCTTGTCTGTTACAGCTTCTGTGTCCCCAGCACTGCTCAAGGACAACGACTTCCTGCCTCTCTATAAGAGCACTAGGATAAAACTCCTGCTGTCTCAACAGCTGGCTGTTAGGGAGTGATTCCTAGCATGGACTCCAGCAAGCTGCATAACCACAAGCAGAACATGGAGGCAGGAAAGCAGTGCCCCATCCCTGCTCAGGGGATGGGCACATCCACAGTGGCAGGAGGATGTTCAGCCATTTGCTCATCCACTTCCAATACTAGTGAAGCCCAGCATTTCCCCGGGCACCTGATGGATGTCTGGGGTTTTCAGGGAGCTCTTGGGATGGCCAGAGCCAGTCTTGACTCCTGCAATGATGTCTTGTGTGTCTGCCTGACTTAGTCTTGCAAAAAATCCACAAATCTTTCTTGATCCATAGGGTCTAGATGGCCCCACTGGAGAGAAAGGCGAACGAGGTGACCAAGGGATGCCAGGACCATCAGGATTGCCGGGTCCCATTGGACTTCCAGGATTGACAGTAAGAATGGGAAGGACAGGCTGCTCTTTCCTGCTTGGTAAAGAGAGAACAGCACAGAGCAGCACACAAGGGTTCATTTCCCAAAGTGCTGAGTATCCTGGGAGACTCAGAGCCCTGCCCTTAATTAGGTGTCACAGAATGTCCGTCTGGTCTCCAGCAGCAGGCAGGGAATGTGGAATACACGGTCTGCTCACACTCCTCCTTGAAGGAGCTGCTGCTGGCCAGCACATGGGTGGTTCACAGACGGCTTCTGATGGAGGGAGACTCCAGAGCACAGCCAGTGGTGACAGGGTCTGTTGTTGTGTGCAGGGAGAGAAGGGTGAGCCTGGGGAACATGGAGACAAAGGAAATCCGGGAGAATCGGTAGGTCACCTTTCTCATGTTTCTTCTGCAATCTGGGCAGCCAGGGAGGGACGATTTGTCAGCAGAGCTGCTGGAAACAGGCACATCCCACCCTCTGGTGAAACCCCCTCACTGAGGACAGCAAGGCCTCATCTCCTGTGGCTGGATCACCAGCCACCTCTAGCTCCTGATGCCCCCCTTTCCCTGACACAAGAACAATCTATCTCACAACCAGCAGTCAATAAGGAATGCCTGGGGTAGAACAGAAGATCTTGGAAAGTGTAACAAATATTTTCCTCAGCATTTGCAGTATAGGGGTTTCCTAGCAATACTTGCATATATATATACACACATACATTTAGGGTTTTTTCAGTAGATTTTAGGGTTCTTGAATTTGCCCACTCTCCCCTCAGAACTCACCCCTAGGTTTTAGAATGCCCTGCAGCAAGGAGTCCCACAGGCTGTTGACATGTGTGGAGCCAGCCACCTTCTTCCCTATCTTTTGCTCTTTGACCCTGTGCCTCCTCGCGTGAACTGTGGTAGAGCAGTGAAAGCAGACGTTCCTTTGGCAAAAACCTCACTGCTTTCTTTCCTCCTAAATGTTTGCAACTGCTGCATAACCCTCCCCAGCGTCCTGCTGCTGCTTCCCAGTCACTCTGTCTTGGATCGCTGCTGCTTCCAAATGCAGTCCTTAGGGGGAGTCCAGGTTTCCCAGCCTGGCAGAGATCTGCTGCACCTTGTGCCCTGTCTGCCTTTGTCCCTAGGGCAGCACATTGACGGTGACTTCTCCTGGTTTGCTTTCTAGATATCTGGCCCCCCCGGACCCCAGGGTCCTCCTGGACCTCCAGTAAGTTTTGAGTGATTCACCTCAGGAGCAAGGCACTGGGCATGGGGGGGATAGAGTGGGAAGTGACTGGGGAGGATTCTGTGTGGAGAAAACAGGCAGAACCAGTGCAGTGTTGAAATGGGAAAAGTATCACTTCCAAACCCACCCCCAGGGTAGGTCAGAGCTGTGGTGGGCTGGGTGGGCAAAGAGAGGGGGTTATGTTAGTCTCAGATGAAAGGGAAGACAGTAGTAAGATGGGATGATGGGATTAAAGGGATCAACTGCAGAAATGGTCTTAACAGCACACCTGGCCCCCTGCCAGGGTGTGCTTGGCAAGAGCCTTCTCGTTACCAGATGAGAACAGTACATGAAGTGCCCGTGACACAAATAAAGAGGCCTCTGTGCCCTCAGAAAGCGAAAGCTCTGTACTGAACACTGAGCTGGGATACCTGGAGTTTAAAGCCCATCCTGAAACATTACTCATGTCTTGTCTCTCATCCCAAATACAGGGTCTTCAGGGCCTCCCAGGACCTAAGGTAAGGCTGCAAAATATTACATCCTGAAATTTAACTAAAGTTGTCGTAGGTGTTAGAATTCCCTTCAGTAACAACTTCCTAGTGTTCAAATAGTACTTTTCTTCCATCTTTGTAAGAGGACAAATCCTTCTGGATGTTTTCTTGAAGGAATTAGCAGCTCTCACTTTAGGGCCCAAAGAACTGATCGTTCCCTCCAGTTTTCATCCAGAGAAGTGGGAAGTCACTGGTCCATGGAAATCTTCCCATGAGAAAACAGTTGAAATCTTTGCCTGAAGGGTCAAGATCTGTACAGCAGGATGAACGTACATCATACATCTCTAAGTAACTGACCTGTAGCTTGAAAGGAGCCTTAGAATTACCCTGTATGTTCTGCTGTAAAGCACTCGAGAACTTCCCTGTCCTTGGTGGTGAGAATCTTTTTAATCTGTCTAAATGCTCGGCCCACACTATTGCTTTGCCTGCTGTAAAACAGCTCCTAGACAAAAAATAGTTCAAGGAAAGCTGCATCTTTCCTCTGAAATTCTGGGCAAAGATTGGAAAATGTGGCCAACATCTTAATTGTTCTGGTTATCCTCAGTATTTGGCCACCAGCACTGTTTGGGTGCTGAAGGGGATGGTGTCCTTATCCTGATTCTCCTTTCCTCCAGGTGTTATTACAGACACAGTAATCCGTCTGGTCTATAACTCAGTAGCCACTGCTATCAGGTGGCTGGGAGACTTGTGTAAGAGACTGTGCAAACTTGGTTCTTCTGACACTTCTGTCTCAAAATGCAACCAAAATAATGTCTTAAAATGCCTCATGAACAGGAATGAGGGGAAAGAAGCTTTGGGTTACACTTTGAGTTTATGAGAAAAAAATTATTTAATGTATTGTGTTTTGTTTACTATTGCTATATAGTTCATAATACAGAATTTAAAAAATACAGTTGGGAAAGGAATGATGAAATTATTTTCCCCAAATGTTTAAACTGATGCCTTTACATTTACAAAAGTCTTTGCAAAGATGACTTCTGCATGATTTTTCTCTGAAGCTTGTAGACACCTGTTATTTACTTTCAATCAATCCACATCTTAAAATGTAAACCTGCCCTATCAGATAACTTCTGGTTATTTGTCTATAAATATATATACAGCAACAACAGCAGGGAGAGCAGCACAGGAGTGAGCCCAGTTCCCCTTTCAACATCTTTACTCACAGGGCCTGAATCTCCTCCATCTGCCATTAACTTAGAACAGGTGCTCACACAGGGGGAATTTGACTGACAGTGGTTTTCTTCAAATTGGGCTAAAGCATTACTCTGGTGCCTCTTGTATCCCCCCTGCTGCTCCGGGGCTCTCTGAAGGGAGGAATGTTTGTTATATAAGTGCTGTTATGGTGAGTTTATTTTCTGCTCCATCCTTCCTTTAGGGGGAAGCAGGGATTGATGGAGTGAAAGGAGAGAAGGGTGCCCAGGGTGAAAAAGGAGACAGAGGGCCACTGGGATTACCCGTAAGTATCCAGGAAGCAAACAGCACTTTGTGAGCCAAACTTGTGTCAGCTGTAAAAAGATCCCTCAATAGGAGACGCATGCGGGGATTTGATATGTAAAGACAGAGAAAGAGATGGTCTATAAATAACTGTGCCTTTGCTCTGTACAGAGCCTTCAACTTTGAGATCGGTTGAGTAGATCAGCCATCACTTTATTTCTTCCTGCTTCTGGGAGGATTGGGAAAAACAAGCAGTAGCTTTCCTGGGGGTTCTCTGCACTTCAGGGCAAAGGGACAAAGCCAGAAACAGAAGTCAGAGATGTGGAAAAGTAAATGCCTTCCCAGCCACTTGTCAGCTGGGCCAAGCTTTGTACAAAGCGTGGTGGTTCTCAGTGCACCCAACTTCTTCAATAGCCAGAACATTCCTGTCACTTCTGCTGTGGAATCAGTGCTTTCCCTGCCCTGGCGTGTCCCTGCTGTGCGTGAACTCAGTCCTTTTAGCCTGTGTTAGTGCACTGCTTGGCAGCCAAAGGAATTGAGGCTCAATACATCACAGAGAAATTGCAGGAGCTTTAGATACAAACCTGGGGACTTGGTGAAGCTCTTGGCTCACATCTGCTAAAGCCCACTGTGTGAGCTGACAGCTGATAATGAGTCCCACCCAGTTGCTCCACTGGCCCCAAAGCCCTCTCCTCATAAAAAGCACTGGTGGCACAGTACACCCTCTCCCTTTCCTGAATGCCCTGGAATGAGCACTGCAGAGTGCATCTCATGTACTGTGTGACTTTGTTGTCCTGTGTTTGACCACTCAGATCCCTTGTCCCTGACTTTGGCTGAAATGTGCGTGTCTTTGTTTGTAAAACGTTTTCCTCCTTTAGTTGTGCTGTGTAGCAATTCCCTTCCAGGGCCTGAATGCATCCCCACTGAGTCTAGGCCCCCAGGTGAGCTCACATGACTGTATTCCTGTGGCTCCAGGCAGAGCCAGTGAGGAGAAAGCAGTGCTTTGGGAAGGCCACAACAACCCCCTGCAGCGCTACAGGCTGGGGACAGAGTGGTTGGAGAGCAGCCAGGCAGAAAGGGACCTGGGAGTTTGGATTGACAGGAAGCTGAACATGAGCCAGCAGTGTGCCCAGGTGGCCAAGAAAGCCAAGGGCATCCTGGCCTGGATCAGGAACAGTGTGCCCAACAGGTCCAGGGAAGTGATTCTGCCCCAGTACTCAGCACTGGTGAGGTCACACCAGTTCAGGAAGAATATTGAGGGGCTGGAGCACATTCAGAGAAGAGCAGTGAGGCTGGGGAAGGGACTTGAGCACAAGTCCTATGAGGAGAGACTGAGGGAGGTGAGCCTGGAGAAGAGGAGACTCAGGGCAGACCTCCTCACTCTACAACTCCCTGACAGGAGGTTGTAGCCAGGTGGGGGTTGGTCTTTTCTCCCAGGCAGCGATCAGCAAGACAAGAGGGCTTGGTCTTAAGCTCTGCCAGGGGAGGTTTAGGTTGGATATTAGGAAGAAATTCTTTACAGAGAGGGTAATCAGGCATTGGAATGGGCTGCCAAGGGAAGTGGTGGATTCTCCATCCCTGGAGGTTTTTAAGATGAGACTGGATGTGGCATCAGTGCCATGGGCTGGGAACCATGGTGGTAGTGGATTAAGGGTTGGACTTGATGATCTGGGAGGTCCCTTCCAACCCAGCTGATTCCATGATTCTGTGATTCTATGATCAAATGCAGAGGATTGTGCTGCAGTGAGAAGACAGAGCCCAGTCCCACGAGAAATAGAAACAGAAGCTTTCTGTATAGATGGTTATTCCCTCAAGGCTGTGGGGTATCTGGACAGGGGAAGGAGATCCGTGTGACAGTTTGAGAAGAAGATGCCCCAGCAATTGTCCTGAGAAGCTCACCAGCATGGCAGGGAATGTGCTGGCTGCTTCTCCTAGAGCCCCATTAGCCCCCAGGGTCCCTTGGCTTCTCATGTCACTCTTCCTGAGCTATAGAGAGGGGAGGGCTCAGAATTGTCCTCTGGGAAATATTTTGTGTTTGGATCAGCACTATCAGCTGGCCAACCAGGAAGCACAGTTACTGAGCTGCTGGTAAGATCAGACACTGTGGACCTTGTGTCCCACCTCAGAGCCACTGAACTCTGTTCCTAAGCTTTTTCATGCCTGATTCTGTGTGTCTTCAGCCTGTAAAACTAAATGCAGTGCCAGACAGGTACTGAACTATTTCAGACTCTGTAAAATCGTGCAGCTGGATCTGTTGCCTTTTCCTCTGTGACTAAGGGCTTGACATGATGCCAGAATTTCAACAGCCTTGGGCTTCTCTATGGCAATGCAGGTTCCAACTCTGCTGTCACATTGTCCTTTTGTGTGATCTGTCACAGAACAGCTGCTTCCCCAGGAGTTTTCTTGGTGGCATTGAGAGAAGGAAATTTACCCTCTTTAAGAGGATCTAAAAGTTGCGGGTCAATGTTATATGTATTCAGTGTTTCTGTGTTTTTGTTGGTTTGCTTGTAAGTACCATCACCTGTCCTTGAGATCTTAATTTTTGTTAATTGCAAGCATATGTTTGTCTCAAGTCACTGCTTCACTCACCTCTCCCCTCCCCTCTCCTCCTGCCTTGTTTTTGTGAACCCTCCCCGTCTGTTCAGGGTGCTTCAGGTTTAGACGGCAGGCCTGGACCACCGGTGAGTTCCATTTCTCCATTGCCCTATGTTCCTCCTCCCCAGTTCCATGATTTGTTTTGTGTATTCCAGCCCAGTTCTAGTTTACACCAGGAATAATTTGTTCCAAAGCAGGCTTGGGAGGGTGGCTAAACTTAGACTGGGGAGTGATGTCACACACTTATGTTTTTTGATGCTATGAGTCTGTCTGGATCCTGGGATCACAGCTGCCTTGTTCCACTTTGCCTCAGTAACAAGATGAATGAAACCTCTGCATGGTTCCATGATGTTCTGTTCTCCTGTCCTCTCTGTCCTGAGGGATCTCTGTCCTGTAGTTCTCCGTGGTAGCCTTGCTTGCTGCCTTTACACAGCAGGAGCTCTTCAGTTTTGTCTGAGGTGTAATAACGCCGGAGCGTTTTGTGCTGTGAGCAGGAACGTTTGTGTCAGCTGCTCTGACTTCTGAACAGAACCTGAATGGCAGCTTATACACTCACTTGTTTGGGGATGTTGTAGATTTAATTTTATAGAGGTGCAAGGGAGACCTCAGTGTATTCCAAGGCACTGAGTGATGCCGAAGTGCAGGCAATTAAGATTTCCATGATTGTATGAATTCAAGGAGAGCCCGATTTTTCTTACTTCCTTCACTGCACTGAAGTTGTGTGCTGCACGAGCTACTCCTCCACTTGTATTCTGCAGATCTTAACTTGTCTGAAAACCTCTCCTGATCCACATGAATCATCCTGCTCACATTGGAGGGGTTACTTCAGTGACTAAGGATTGCAGGCTGATGTTAAAAAATGCAAACCCCTTTGCCTTAAGGCTTTTAGAAAAAGACTTCTCAAGCCTTGGTTCTTCCTAGGAGGCAGGTAATATGCCTCAAAAGTATCCCTTTATTGAGGCTCCATGATGGAAGTGTAGATCCATACCTGTGTGGTTAGCAAAGTGTGGATGGAGTTCAAGGAGTCTAGAAATAGAGTTGGAAGTGCCCAAATCCTGTTCTTAGCCAGAAGGACTATTGCTGAACTGCTGCACTGCTCACATTAAAGATCAGCTTTGGCTGGTTCATTTCCCAAAGCTTCAGCAAGTTTCAGGAGCACTGGGAAAGAAGTTTGGTATGCTGGTGGGAGATGGCCCCTGTGTCAAAGGGTTAGGAACAACACTGGGTTTTCCTGTTGGCACGACTGGGAGCCTGGTGGAGTGACAGGAATGGCAAAGAGGGAACAGAGGGACTGGAGGGTACCCCTCTTAGTTCACATCTCTGCCTGTGCACCCCTGCATTCCTCGCTGCACCACAGGGTCTGTCACCTTGCATGCACAACTCACTGGCTGCCTGCCACCACGTAACAGGATGCTTTCCATCTTGCTCAGCTCTGCTGATTTGGGGGGGGAGAAGGGAAAATAAGGAAATAAAGGAAAGGAGAATTGCCTAACATAATTCTAAATGGCCTTTATTCTGCTACAGCTTTCAGCCTTGTCTGATATGAACTAGAGAGAAAGAAATCCTGTCTGTGGAGTTGGTAGAAATGCCTGCTGAAACAATTGTCAAGGGAAAGCTTCAAAATTAAAAATAAGGCTCTGTACAGTGGTGCTGGTGTGATCTAACTTAGCAGTTCCCATGTTGTTCAAACTGCCTGTACCAACTACTTCAGATCACCACCAACACTGAAAGCTGTAGTGGTGTGAGGTGCCCTCCACCACCAGACTGTCCTTCCAAGCTGTGCTTTGCCTCAGGGAGCAGCGGTGTCTCCTGGTTTAATGAGGCCCTTGAATAAAAGCATCCTGATGTGTTTTCCTTCCTACAACTGCAGGGTACTCCAGGACCAATTGGGGTTTCAGGACCAGCAGGACCAAAAGGAGAAAGGGTGAGTTTGCTTCAGAACTGACTGATGCTCTGTAACTTCTCTGAAGATGTGACAGCTCTTGGAATAGAGGAAATCTAGGCTTTTCCAGAGATGGAACTGCCCTCTCCTTGTGCATACAAGACTCTCAGCTGGGCCTCTTTGATATTTGAGTACCTCATCCTTGGAGGTTTTAGGTGCTTTGAATTGCATCCTTTGCTTTTTCTTCTCTAGTGCTTTGCTCCCTGTTTGTACTGAGTAGGAACGTAGCAATTTCTACTCTTTTGTCTCCATTTCAGGGCAGTAAAGGAGATCCTGGAGTTGCAGGACCAATGGGGCCAGCAGGGCTTCCTGTGAGTATGGGCATACAAGGGATTTATCTACAGGGCCTGTATCACTGACAGCTGAAGATGCTGCAGTAATCCAGTGTTTGCAATCACAGCTGGGTTGAGTGTAACTCCAGTTACAAACCTTTGCTCACTACCGGAGCGACAGAAAGAGCTCAAGAGCAGTGACTCAGAGGGAGGAGGAGGAAGCTGAAGGGAAATTGTTAATTCACCTTGGTCCTCAAGCTACCAAAAGAAGCTGAGTGGGGCTCCCAGCATAGGTATTTTAGTCCAAAATGCTGCTTTGGAGCACATCTGCTTTCACAGCCTGGCTGGGAAAGCCCTGTCCTGCCATTGCAGGGACAAAAGCTGCCTCCAGTGAGGTTAACAAATTCCACTGTTTGGGATTGCTTTTGGAAAAACGGGGCCAGTGTTGGAACTCTAGTGTAATGTAATCATGAAGCTGCTTTGTTGCTTAACACAAAAAAGGGAGTTTGCTGCTTTTATCAGGGACTGCCTTCTCTAAACTAGTTTGTTTTTTATCTGATGAACCCTTAGAGGAGTAGTGCTGTTACGGCCTGGATGGTCTGATGGAGCGGAGGTTGTCTGCTGGAAAAGTTTTGTTTGTTTGTAACATAAGTGGAAAAAACCCCAAATCCCTGAGCACACATTCTTCTTTTTGAGTGGGAATACAGTGGGACCTACTTGTTTTAAAATATTTTATGTTGATGCATTTCAGGGTTTACAAGGTCTGCCTGGTGACAAAGGAATCCGGGTAAGTTACCAGGCAAACTTCTTGTATTTAATTACTAACACCTTTACACAGGGACAGCCCAGTTAACTCTGAGCACCTCTAGTAGCCAGCATGTGTTTGTCTGCTAGACCTTCACACAAGTGACTTTGCATACCTGGATTTTAGAAGGTGATACCTGTAGCTTGTCCCATCACCTAGGACATTGTGGCACATCTGCCTGAAGGCTGAAGGAGGGATTTTCTAATGTGTTCATTGCTGTCACAGCTCTGTTCTCACCAAAGCATGGGACTTCATGTGTAGTTCAGTTAGGCCAGAGTGGTGTGCTTTAGGAAATCCTACTTATCTGCTTACTGATGTGTGTGAATTCCCATGAGAATTAGCTGAGGTGCAGCCACAAATCTTATTTTGGTACTTTTAAATTCCCCCTGAAGCATGAAAAAGAAGGTTGTCCTCTAGCAAACACTCCTCCAGAGAATTTGGAAGATGGAAATTTTGAAAAGATAAATTAAATTTGCCTGCCTTAAAGAGTCAGACATGAAATCTCTTCAGGCACTACCCTGAATAGATATGATGGTGAAGAGTTGGGTCAAAACCAGAAACATGAATGGCAGACTTTCCATTGTACCACCTGTGTTAATAGAAAGATAAATATTACCAAGAAGTGTATGTTGAGAAGCTCCTTCTTTTTCATCAGGTTTTCTTGCCTGTTAAAGCTCTGAATCTTTTTGATAAAGACACTTGAGAGCTATAGTTGAATATAATTTATATTTAGAAATACAAATGACTTCTGGATTTGAGTCTTTGTAAGATGACAATTGTCCTGATGTCAAGCAGTTCAACATAGTACAAGTGTGTGTACTCACACAACTCTTCATATGACTCTGGTATCACCTGAATTTATCTGAAAACGTAAATTTTGATAGTGCATGTGCCCATGTGGTGATTTATATGGGTTTGCTTTTGATACATAGTGAGTCCTCCATCTGCAATGGATTTCTGACCTTACTTTGCACAGAAAGGGCAGTTTTGTAAAGAAGCAGCCAACTGGCATCTTAAACTAGGGGAGAAAGGTTCAAGGGAGCCCCAAAGTTCTCCCCTTTTTTAATCATTGCATTTCTGGCTTTGCTTCTTAACTTCCTCTTCCCTAACATGTGTTTTGTTTTGTTTGTGTGGCTTCTAAACAAAAAGTAACTTTTAATTCCTAGACTTTTTCAGTTGGTTTTTAAACTGGGTGTCTTAGTTACAGAAGGATCTGTCATTAGCTGTAGATGGGATTTTTCTGAGCTCTGGCATAAAAGCAAGTGAAACTGGGAGAAATTGCAACTCCTTGTAGAGGATGAGTTCGAAAGCATGAGTGGGAGGTTGTGCTGGCCCCTTGAAATGTGCATGCACTTTGCATCACTGCAACCCATAATTTGCAATGATGAAAAAGTTTGAGAAACTTGAGTCTAAATGGGCAAGTGTGATATTTTAGCAGATGGGATCCTAGAAAATACCCCTTTTCCCACTGAGTAGAGGGGATTCCCCTTACTCCTCCAAAAGTCCCAGGCAATTTGCCAAAATCCTGTCTGTTCCTTTAGGCAGAGCAGGGCTCTTTAAACCCCAGAAATGTTCCTGCTGCCCTCTGCTCCGAGTGGGAGACGAGTGTGTTGTGGTTGTGCCCAGGGTCGGGGTGGGAACAGGCAGAGTTTTGTGTAACCCAGCTGAAAAAGTGGGACCCCTGAGCTCGTGCTGCCAACCTGATGCCTTCACTCTTATTTTAATGCCTGTGTTGTTTTTTTTTCTTGTGTGTATGTGCCTCTTCCTCGCTCCTACAGGTCCACCTTTGTCCCCTTTATCCCTCCATCCTGTTCCGCCTTTCTTCCTGGTTCCTTCCTCCTTCCTCCAGAGCAACCCATGGCGCACTTTTCCTGGATTATCCTCTCCATTCCTGCGCTTGGCTCTGGGTGACTTCTCCTCACTGCCTCTCCTCTCCCATCCATTTCTCTTGCCAGCTTTGGGTTTAACGCCTTTTTTTTTTTTTTTTTTTAAAAACAGCAGCCCGTGCTGTCTGACTTTATCCCTTATTTCCTTAAACGCTCCCCACAAGTTCAGAGTTCAGTTCCCTGTGCAGCAGCCCCTTCCCCTGTTTCATGCTCAGCAGCTCTGAGGATTTTGTGTTATACTGGCAAATACCATGCTATACCCTTGTGCTGCCAGGTAAGAGGGTCAGGGAGCAGCTGCTGCCCTGTGGCTGCTCTAGTCCCTGGTCTAACAGGTTTTTTGGGAGAGCACTACTCAGAGCATCCTAAGGGGCATCCAGGTTGTATGGACTCTCAGGGCTGAGTACTTCCTTTATTTCCTGGCAGAGAGTTCTCCAAGTGAGACTTTCGTTAAGAATGAGAATTCAGAGTGGTAAGAAAAGCATCTTAGTGCCATCCCAGAGGTGGAGTGGCAGAGGAGGGACCTTCCCAGCCAGCTGCAGATTGAGATGAGGTGGCACACTGCTGGCCAGAAGGGTGTTTGCCCATCCTGTGTGTCTGGGGTCAGCATGTTCCCTGATGTACCTCTCTCTGGAGTGTGGGAAGCCCCAAGAAGTCCTCTGATGATCCCTTTGATGCTGAGCCCTCCCAGTCTGTCAATGTGGGACTGCAGCCACAGCCAGTGTGTTTATGCAGCTCAGTTACAGCTTAGCAGCTCTTCACTTAACATCTCAAACAGAGATTTTTCTTCTTTTAAAATGTTTCCTAAATGTTTATCTTTTTTTTAAACTATCGCTGACATTTGTTTGAAATGGATGATCCTAAAGCTTTTGTGTATTCTTTTTTTCTCGGACTAAACTATTATTTACAGGGGGAGAGGGGCAAGAAAGGCTCTAGAGGGTCTAAAGGGGATAAGGGAGACCAAGGAGCGCCTGGATTAGATGCACCCTGTCCGTTGGTATGTTCTGTTTCATCAAATGTATTGTTTTAAGATGTGTTGATGGGGAAGACAGAAGGAAATCATAACATAAATAATGGTCTTGCAAAAGTACAACACTTGGATAAGGCCTGGCTGGGTTCCCACCTCAGCCTGTGGCAAAGCTGCTTTCTCCAGAGGGAGAACCCCTGATCCTCTGAGTGACCAGGCTGCTGAGTGACCACGGTTATGTTCCTTCCTCTTCCAGAGTCCACTGAGGTTTGGGGTACATGGGGGTGTCCCATGTGCTGGGAGCCCAGGGCTTTCTCCTTTGTGGATAGAGCCCTGTCTCCTTTGCTGCCAGTTGCAGCTCTTCTCTGAGATGGTCAGTGTGATCCTGTCTACGAGATGGCAAAACTGGAATGCTGGTTCCCCTGCCTCGGAATAAGGGCCAGCTGATGGGACGGCCTGAGAGCACACGGGGCACTTGAGCTGCAGCACCCAGAGGAAAAACAAATCTCACTTATCCTAAATGGGATGTGTGTCTGTCAAAACAGATTGGCTACAAATCTAGGCAAATTAATAAATATAGGAATATGTGTACACTTTTATCTAAATTCATATGCTGCAGCGAATTCTGCCAAAAATCTGTAGCAGTGCCACAAATCCCAGGAGTACCTGTGGATCATGCAGCTGGAAATCCAGCTGCTGGGTTTCCTAGTGAGGATCAGAGGAAGGGATGATTCTGAAACTGAGGAAACGCCGTTCCCATCCTCTCAGCTTCAGCTCAGAGAAGCATCTCCTGGCTCGCAGATCGTGGAAAATCCAAAAGGAAACTGCTGGTGCTGCTGATTCTCTAAGTGTGCAGACAGCTGTGTGCTGGGTGTGCAGCAGAGTGCCCTGTGAGGGTCCCGGTGGGGGCTCAGCCACCCCCGTGACACGGAGCTGGCGGTGACTGAAATAACAACAGTGGTTGATTTCATGAACAGGGTCTCCGAGGTTTTAAAGGCGAGAAGGGTGAGCCGGGGTTACCTGGGCTGGACGGCCTGGATGCCCCATGCCCATTGGTATGGCCTACCTTCCCTTTCCTGCATGCTCGTTTGCTTTTTGGGTCTTGGGTGCTATTTCTGATACCTCCAAATAGCTGCATGCCCTAGAAACACCTGGCAGCTCCTTCCTTACCTGTCTCCATCCTCCCTTCCTCACATTGCTGCTGTTAGAACTAGGCCCTTCCCTTCATGCTGTGATTCCCAGCTGCTGCCAGCACTACTTTGTGGCGTGAGGAAAAATAGTGGGAATGCAGATTTACTTACAACTGCTTCACTTCCTTTGTCTTCCCTTTGGCAACTTCCACTAAATCAGCCTGTGCAGACCCAGCTCTGCACTGCCTTTACTTCCTTGCAAGGAGCTGTGATGCTCGTGTCCTTCATTAACTCTATTTTTAAGTGCTTGTGTGTGGTAGGCACGGCCTGACGTGGCTCTGTATTGCCTCAGTCACCCCCTACAATAAGATGACTGAAAATAATAGTTATCCTGTTAGCAAGCCCATGTGAAACATATTAACTGGACACTTAGCCTCCCTGCGAGATAATTCTTATTTATGACTCTCCCCAGAAGTCCAAATTGTACTCATAGTGGCAAAAAAACTTGCATGTTTCCCAATATCCAACTTAAGTATTAAAATTATTATTGTACTAGTGCCTGATCTAGCCCAAGTGCTGTAAGACAAAGGTCTTGAGGAACACTTAATCTCAACTGATTTCAAAGTGTCCCCCTAAACATCACCAATTTATTAGTTTTCTCTGAGATTTTCTGAAGATGCAGTGTTCAGGTGAGGTTTTGGCTCCCTACAACAGTCTCAACATCTCCATAATACACAGAAACTACTGCCCTTCAGGCCTATTTGGCATGACAAAATTTGCTTGAGGATGGTCTGTCTAAGCTCCCTTAAGGATGTTTGATGCCATTTACAAGGGATGGAAGATCTGTTAGTTCAGCTAGTTGGAAAAATGCGTCCCAAAGCAAAAAGCCACATTTAATTTGGAAGGTTTTCTTAGTTCTCCCAGGGAGAAAAAAAGCTGTGAAATTGCCATCAAAAGCCTTTGTTATTTGAGCTTTGTGAAGAGCTAACCAGTTTTCCTCCCAGCACCCCCTCTGTTGGGCACTGCTGTGTCCTCTTTGGGGCACTGACTCTTGCAGTGGCCACTGGTAAAGTCTCAGTTGCTGCTCTGTAAATTCTGGGTAGTGGAAAGAAACTTGGGCCAGTCCCACAGGTGAAATCAGACCTGCCCAGAACGGCCCATAAAGGAGGAAAACCACAGAGCCATGTGTTCTGCCTCCTGATGGTCATAGCCAGGTTACTATGGAGTAAGTTTTGGCCAAGTAAGGCACCTGATTCCCAATCCCTGTAAGGATTCCACGGGTGCCTGGCAGACCACCCCTCTGTTTGTGTCACTGCTCCCAGTGAGGATTCACCCCACATGGCCATGTTGGAACACACACTTCTTGTCATTCCTATTTTTGTTAAGGGAAACTTGCCAGAAAATCTGATGAAATGCAGATGCCATTATTTTTTTATATATAGTGTTCTGGCATGCGAGCTAGCTTGGGAACGTGAATAAGCATGTTTTTGGATCCAACTAGGTTAAAAGCTTAGCATCCAGCTGACACATCCACGTTTGTAACTTATGGAGGCTGTGAACTAACGCTTTGCACATCTGAGATATGTGGAAGGAGATCCTTGATGCTAATAAGCATGTCATGTTTCCGTTCTCAGCACATTCGCCTGCAACAAACACTTCCTCGTGACCCTGGTCTTCCTTTGATCCCTAAGCTGTAACTCCCTGGCCTCCCATTCCTTCATACACCTAACTTCCCATCTCCTCCTGCGCTGCACTGCACCAGTCATTCCTACCACCACCAGTGTACCAATGGGAACACCGCAATATGCCCAGTAATTGACTGGTAACTCCATATTTCCACATGGGGGGAGAAGAGGAGGAAACAGCAAAAGGAGACCACAGTCCAAAAAATGCATTTGAAAAGCAATATTGTTGTGGCAACGTTCAGTTCGTCAGGCCCCTGAAAGTGCATCTCTGTTAAATAGTTCGTTTCTCAGTATACTACTGTGCATTTGCTTTTCTGTTTGTATTGGTTTTGGTTTTCCTGGGGAATAGTGATAGCCTATAAATGGGCCACATGGACACAGCACAAGTGTTTGATTTCTCATGTCAGAGATGTATCTCCTTACCTCTGACTTCACCTCCTGCTCAAGAGCACCTTAGCACTGACATAACATCCTGTTTTCTCCTGTCAAACAGGGCTTCACAGAGATGATATGAGTGGCAGCCACTCACAAAAGCCTTTCCCAACCATGGGGTCTCCATCTTTTAGTAGCACCGCCCTTAAAGTGTCCAACCTTCTTCAACCTTAAACAAAAATTAAAAAATAATAATGACAACGACACACCCACCTGGGGCTGTGCAGCCCAAGACGTCAGGGTTGCAGAGGTGCTGGGGAATATTCACAGAAATCCCACTGCTGTTATTAAGCCCAAGACCGTTTTCAGGGAGTCAGCTGAGACATCCTGAACCAGCACAGGCGCTGCCCAGCTGCTTACCTTCCTAATTTCTCTGGAGTGGGATCTCCTCAGAGGCAAGAGGGGACAGCTGGGCAGGATCTCACATGACAAAGCAAACCCTTTAGCAAACAGGGCAGAAAGGAAATGGAGGTTTTTTATAGACCCTCCTCAGGATCAGAGGTTAGTGCTGACTCTGGGGTTTGCTTATAACCTCAGCACTACAGAGCCAAGCATTAAGACACAGACCCACCACCTCACACCTTCCACTGCCTTCCTTCTTCCTTCCTTCACGGAAGCCTGGATAAACTATTCCTTGAGGAAGAACGAGAACAAGCCTACAGACCTCATGTGCGTAAGTCCCTTGCATAGCCTGAGGCCTCTGCCCTCTTCAGTCCCAGCCCTTGCTTCAGGTTCTTTGAGCCAGAAGTCCGGGTCACTCCAAAAGGCTGAGGAATATCTCAGACTATTCCTCCAGCCCTGATTCACACTGTTTGTTGCAGGTGTTATAGTTAACCCACGTCTTCTTTCCTCCGTCTCTGCACTACTGTCTGTGTCTAAACTGCTGTTTCATCCATCTCTTTTTCAGGGGGAAGATGGGCTTCCAGTTCAAGGCTGCTGGAATAAGGTAAAATAATCTTGGAAATGCTGCTGTGCTGAGTTGGCAGTGCCGTGTGTTCTGCTAGTGTTTTCCAGTGAGTCTGTTTAATAGCAAAAGAGGTGTGGAGGCATGGATGGGATTTCCAGGACTGTACCCCTGTGCTGGTTTAAAGGTAAACCAGCAGGGGAAATGAACTCAACTCAAAGGAGAGATTATAAATCAGAATAACAATTTAATAAAATAATACAATAAATACGATTATACAGACAATCAGTTGGTTTTAACCCACAAACCCCAAATGTATAACCCAGCACCCTGAGGCATGAACAGAGTGGTGTTCATTGGCCCCCCTGAGTCCAAAGTAAAAGGAGAGGGAAAAACCTGTTGGTGAGGGTGCTGGTGCAGTCTGGTTGAGAGCTGTGATCTGCAGTCTTCCTCTGAATCCCACGAGTGGTTAAAAAAGTCCCAAGAGTCCAAGATTATCTATCCTCCAGCTCAGGCAGGAATGCCCAGTACCTCCCTCAGGGCGGGGAGTTTCACAATGGGTGCAAGGAAAGGAGCATCCTCCTATCTGGAAGGCCTCTTAACACCCAGTTTATAGCCTGAGGAGTCAGGCTGCTCTGGGCAGATGGTATAAATGGTCTATTGATAACAGTTTTTGGGAAATGGCATGGAAGGCTATAGAATACACAGTTTAGGGTTACACCCATACAGTGATGAACCGGTCCCAGCTGTTCTAACCAGGACAACCGCTGAAAAGCAGCAACCAAAACTCCTCCTTGTTTGCTATCACGGTACAGCTCTATCTGCTGCAAAGGAGGGAACTATATGTGTGGCCTTTGAGCTGCCTGGCCCCAAAGTGCTCTAATCCTTACACAAAGATGAGATTTCCACATGGATTCCCTCAGACCCCCTGGGGTCTGGCCCACCTTCAGCACCTGTTGTGGGTGTAAATGCCAGGTCCTCAAGCTGCAATGGTGGGAAGATGGTGGAGGCAGAGTCAGCCCAAGCTGAACCCCCCACCCTCAATCAGGGAAGTGGAAAGGATCCCTGCTGAGATTTCCATTGCTCTTCCTCCTGGAGCCAGCTTCTCTAATGCTGTCCTTCCCTCCACGCCCTGTGAGCTGGCATTAACACTTGGTATTGAGTTGTCACTAACACTCGTTTATGTTTTCTTTTGCAGTGATGATTCTAACCTGGACTGGCCTGTGTGTGTTACTGTACATAGGATATTTATTTTTATACAGTGTTCTTCTCCAAAATGCCAAAAGTTATGCATTTTTACAAATTATCAAAAAGCTGCATATTTTTTGTACAGAAAATACTAGATTTTTTTCCCCCTGTTTGTCAGTTCTCTGTATGATTCTATGTCTGCATTATGCTTGTTTTGTCATGGAGTACAGCTGTAATATTTACATGATACTTGTGCACACATGATGAATATAGGAACTTAATAAATTATTACATTAAAGATGCCCGAAGGAACTGCCCTGTATAGATTTAAAGGTCATTTTCATTTTCCAAGCTGGGTCATTCAAGAATATTTCAAAATATTATGTATTTTTTATTAAAGTGAAATATAAACAGTTTTGCTGTGACTGAATTAAAGTGTTGCTGAAAAACCTGCTGGTAGTCACCGTGCACTGGGAATGTAAAGACTCCATGATTTATAATTATCCTCCCATGGGCTGGAATAACGCTCATGACAATGAGCCCTGGCTGGCAAGAAATTCTAACCCCTTTCTAAATTGTAGGCATGCAAGTAACTCAGTGAAAACCTCATTTAAAATGAAGCATAACGCAGCATTCCTCGATGATATCCTAATGAATGTTTGTTAGAGAAATCAATCCACATGGCTTTTCAAAATATTAACCAAAGGTCACATGCAGATTTGCAGTGTGCCATTACAATTTGCATCTGTACATCTTAATTATCCATCCTGACCTACCCTTGTTGATGTCTCAAGTCTAAACTACCCAGAAAGGAAAGTACTGCCAGGCTAAAGTGACTATCGCAATATGCTTTCCTTAGAAAATGAGTGGAAGCCTAAATCCATTCCCTAAAACATGTCCCCTGGCATTGGCCCTTCACGTAGGGGGAAAGGCAGTGGGCAACCCAGGAGATTCAGGGGGAAGCCACCATGTTTAACGATCCCAAGGGAGAAATGTGAGTGGTGGTTCATTAGTGAGCCTGATCCACTCAAGTCCTGCTCTTTGCATGATGCTGCCACTGAGACAGGAGTTGGGCTTCTCCTGGCTGCAGCTGTGCCAGCTGGAGTGGTCCCCACTACCACCCCTTCTGTACTCGGCTACGCTGCTCAATTATTCATCTGTTCATAAACCATTCGTTAGTTATTTTCCAGATGATTCCATACAGTCTTTTAGCACCATCAGAGTCAAGTGACAAGGTATAAGGGATGTACTTCCCTGGTACACAGGGACTGCCCAAGGAACCCAGCGCAGCCCCTGACTGCTGCAACCCATCTGTCACCTCACCCTTTCAGAAATTTATTGAATTTCATCTAAAAACCAGTGAGGTTTCTCTGCCTGTGTCCCCTCCCTCCCCACCCCGCAGGCTGTTCCGGCTCAAGTGCTCTCGCGGTTAGGAAACTCCTTGCAACTTTCAACCTAAACTAATTCATGGCATTTACAACCATTTCTTCTCATGCCAACATTGTCCTTGGGATGGAACTTTTCCATGCATGATGTTTTTGTGAGATGCTTGGGGTACTGGAGCTGAAATGGCACAGAAGGAAAATGAACCACAGAGCCATGAGGGATTCTTGTTGGTTTTCTCAGTAATAGCTATCGTTAATATAAGCCCCAGCTCCCTGTTACAAGGCTTTGCAGCTGTGGAGCTGAGCTAATTGGAACAGCCAGTGTTCCAGTCGTGTTTTAATTGCTCACCTGTTAAACAAAGCAATTCCTAAAGACCCAGATGGGTACATTGGGGGTGCTTTGGGTTTGGGAGTTTGTAGCAGCAGTGAATTTCTACTCTGATCTTGAAGCATTCAGCTGCAAGGTAGAATGTTTGAATGCTTCGCCGCTTCTAAAAATGCTGGCTATCCTTAATCCTTGAAAACTTACAGATCCCTAAGAGAGCCTGCCAATGCTTCCTGTCCCCTTTGGTCTCTGTAGAGTGTTTTTGGTTTGTAGCTGGTATTTGTGATTGCACTGCATGGAGTTGTTGTTGCTTGGTTTTATCTGATCCAAAAGCAAAGTGCATGTCTGTAACGTTGCCCTGGCACAGCTACTGAAAGGTCAAGGACTTCTGAGGTGATACTGTACCTGTTTTATTTCTTGAGCTGTTTTTTGACTGATACATTTGTGAGAAAGCTCTTGCCTGAGGTGCAGGAGGCCTTGAAATGTAGTTGCCAGAACTCTCGAAAGTACCTGACTTGTGTCAGCAAAGACTTATCTGTTTCTGGGGGAAATGTGTAAGGTACCCACTCACCTGTCCTAAAGGCGGGAACGTGGTGGCAAATGTTCCCTGCGGTTGCTGCAGCCACAGCCTGGGATTTTAACTGAAGAAGATGAGTGAACATTTTGGATTGCTCTTCCTACAACCCCCGTACTAACACAGTCCCATCAGCCACTGGGATAGACCGAGGGTCAGTGACACCACACTGATCCACTGCTCTTCCCAAACCTGAGCACTTTGCATGTCAAGAGAAACCCAAACGGTGGCAGCGGGGTTTGCACCACCCTGAGTGTGACAGTTTCCTTTCAGGGTCTGTCCCTACTAAAACCTGTAACCTGATTACTGTTGATTCTGCCTGGCTGTTTTCACATGAAACACTTTGTCTGCCACTTCAAGGGTCAAACTCCTTGGCTGATAGCCAGAAAGTGAGTCTGAGGGTGGAGAAGCTTGAGAAATGGCAGCAGAGTGAAAGGAGAAGGAGGACCTTCCTGAAGATTTGCTGGAGATGTTTTGCAAGTTGCCTCCCTGGAGCCTGGGAAGAGTTGTTGAGCTGCGCACCAGGAATTGTGCCTGCTGGGGCTGCGGGAGCTCGGCGTGCCAGCGCTTTCTGCTTTGCTCTCTCTTCTCCCAGAGGCCAGAGGCAGGGGTCGAAAATGACACCATTTATATTCTTTTCCTTTGGTCATTTTCGCTTCATTCGACTTTTGTGGTCAGACTCTTCAGAGGAAGAATTGAGCTCGTTTTCCAGCAGCGGCTGCATAAATGAGTGCAAGACAGACAATATTTCTGGGGGGGGGGGGGGTAGGGGAATCCTTTGATCTGAGAGAAATCTTTCTTGAACGATTCTCTTTAGGAGAAGCAGAGAACCCCCCGTGTTCTGCTCAGAGTGCTGCTCAGAGAGGACACGATCACACTTTTTGCTTTCGTTTCTGGTTACCAGGTGACAGACTTCCACCTGTATCACTGATGATTCCATCTTTAACCTTTTCATCACAAACTTTCTTCTCCTGTGAAATTATAAGGAAATGACATTGTTTTTTGGGTATCTTTTTTAACTGCTCTGGATTTTGAAGGCATGAACTATGTGTTCAAAGGAGGCAAATGTGGAGTGTGGAAAAAGTCTGGTTTCACTGACTAATTCCTTTGCTTCCTGTACTTGTGCTTTGGTCTCCACTGCACACACTGGATGTACTTTGCCTGGAGCCCTCCAGAAATGTTTTCTGCTGGCCCGTTAAGGCCCTTTTGTGGGTATCTCTCCGCAGACGTACTTCCAGATGGAAAATAAGGATCACAGAGGTTCAGTTCCACTGTCACATGTTTTAATACATTCACTGAAGGGAAATAAAGATTTGGCAAAGTACTGAGGGCTTCGGAGGATGTTTCCCAGCTGCCTGAAGGGCAGAATATACAATCCTGGATACCTCCTACCAGCTGCAAACCTGGCATCCCTTCCTCAGCCCCTGTTGCTGAAGATTAAATTCTGTTCACATGTAAGCTCTAGTGTCTTGCCACCCCAGCAATTTATTAAAAAACCCTCAAACCTAAAATAAATAATTAAGTATGTATCTTATGAACATGACTACTTCCCTGAGTGCATTGGGAATCCCGTTTGCCCAAGCACTAAAACACACATTTGACTTTGAGCCCGTGATTCCCGCTGGCCTAAATGATGCCATTTGCATACTGAAGTACTCTGGTGAGCCAGGGCCATTGTTATTAGAGCTAATGAATGATGTTATCTGAGTCATTAGGCAGAATTAAACGATAAGCAATTCATGTTACAGTTCAGAAAGAAAGAGCTGATTTCAAGCTCAAAGGGATGTATTTAAACCGGAGCAATCCCAGATTCGAACGCCCTTTGTTAGCACTGGAATCATCCTGACCTTCTGATAAGGACACCTGTACCTGACACCCACCTCCTCCTGCCAACGCACAGGAAGTCTACTGTTAAAATAATTCCAGGTTTACAAAGATTGGGGGAAAAGTCCTACTTTCAGTTTCATCTGAAGGATTGCAGGGTTTTTTCTTAAGGCTTCTAACAGATGTATTCAGTGCATAGAGTAACAGGGGAAGAAATTGTTTCAGTTAGGAACTAGACTGGTGGAAAGGTTAATTTATTTTATTTGTATTTTTTTATTTTTACTTTTTCGGGGGGGGGAGGGGGTTGGAGGGAGAACCTGACCAGAACTGCAGGCGGTAGGTGTGCTTTTTTCCTTCTTTTTTATTGAAAACATTTATATATATAATTTGATAATGTTACTTTTACTGTTCTTTTTATTAATGATTTTTGGGGGCAATTTGTTTGCTCTGTTGTGTTTTCTTCTAGGTATATTTTTAATGGGCTTTTAGAATAAGTGTGTAAAAGTTCCTCACCGAAAACGTCCTAAGGACATTTCTATCGTCTTTTTTTTTTCTCCCTAAGTTCAGTAGTAAAATGGTGCTTTCCACAGGCAAAACAGTTTTCAGTGGGAAAAACATATTCCCACAGGCCACACCGAGGGACCAGGTACCAGTGACCTCTCCCAGACAAAACAGCTCTCTCCACACTCTCCATTTACATTTACAAAGATGAAAAGGGCTATGTGAGGGACCAGCCGACTGGAAATGGTCCCTTCCCACCTCGGGGGTCTGTCGGGAAGCAGCTGGTCTAGCAAGAGCCGCTGCGTCCCCTGCAGCTGCATTCTACAGCCGGGCTAGAAAGCTCGTTAAAATTAAATTAAAAAGTCATGTTTATTTGAAGATGGCAAGTTCTTGGAGGGTACCTGCTACGGTATTGCTGTCTCTTGGTATTGTTTTCCCTCCTCGGAATCCAGCAACACACTCAGGCTCAAGCTTAGCTTTAGGCTGTGCTTCACCCTGAGCCTATCTGCAAATGCTTTGCTGGATGAGGGTCTCCCCTTCTTTTCCATATTTTTTTGTGTTTTTTTTTTCCCCCTTCTCTTGTTTGTGTCCCTATTGCTTCCAGATGTTTTTGTCCTGGACAAAGTAGTTTCCTCCCCCCTACATTTTCAGAAGATCTCTGTTGGTCGCATTTTGATCATTTCCCACTCACTTTTATTATCAGTCCTTCCTGCTATCCTTCTGCCCTCCGTGTAGGCCTGCTTTGTTAAACATTTTGATCTGATGAGAACATCGTGGCAAACATGAATTAAGATTAGATGTTTGTTGATATTTTTTAGAGTTGACTGTAAAGATTCTACCGTTTAAAACACATGGCAGCAAAACCAGTGTAGCTTTGTAGCTTTCTTATGATCTCTGTTTTTTTTTTTGAACAGACTCATTCTGAGTCCGAATATTGCAAATTTTTTTCATGAAAAACCTGCTAAACTTTTGTTTTTCCTGCAAAACGTGAGTTTGTTGAACTGCTGTTGCAAGGTTTAGTAGGTTAGACATTAATGACAGGTATGAGAGGACTGGTTGTGGAGCCTGTGGAGTGCCACTTACACGCTTGCTTTCCATTGTACGCCGTTTGTTGGTCTGTTGTCTCTGGTGGGGGTTTGCTGGGAGTGTGAAATTCCATTTTGTGATAATTCCATTGGGTTTTTTTTTCCACATTTGTGTTTCAAAGTGTTGCTTCAGTAAATCTTCCCTTACGCTCTCCTGCAAAGATTTGCATTTACCCTGATGTTGCACCCCGCCAGCAGTGCCACAGACCGAGCAGTTTCACCCGTGTTTTGAGCCTTCCAAAGGAAGTGTGTCATCTCCCTAAACTCCACAGCCTTTTCTGCAGCGGGATGATGTCCAGGAAAAGGAGAGAGGCAGCAAGACTGTGCAGGCCACCATAAGGAGACTCCTTCTCCGAGCCTGGTCCCTCACCATTCACTCATGACCTGCCCCATTACCGCTCCTTTCACTGTGTTATTGTTCTCCCTCACCAGTCAAAGGCAGAGAAAACATTGTCATGGTCTTGTTCAGCCCAGCCCCAGAAGGACTGAGATGACCCCCTGGATGCAGGGAGGAACCATTCTCATGGCTCCAGATGTTGGGCAGTGCAGGGATGGGAGGGAGTTCCTGGTCCTGGGGGATGGGCTGCAGATGTCACAGCTCTCCCGCTGGCAGTGCCGAGTTCCAGGCCACACTCCCACTGCGTGTGTGGAGGTATTGCTCCTGGTGCCCTGGCTTGCAGGAGTGTCCCCCATCCAGGGCAGTTCGCTTCACCAAGAAGTCAAGTTGTTGACCCTTGACAGGGTCCTCGGAGCGATAGAAAACCCCTCCCTGATTCCGCCTAGAATGCTTGTGTCATTGGCACTGCTCCTGTTTCTCATCTGTACATCAGCTGGACACCAAATTGGCCTAATCCCTGCAGGAGAATGATTTCTGAAGCAACTTTATGTTGTTACATATCTGGTTTCCTTGAATTTTACAACAGATTTTACTTTTGTTTTCCCTTTGGTGGCATAGACTGTAGAATATTTATTATAGCTGTAGTAAAGTGATGATTTATGAGTAGACCTTGACAGGGCATTGTTTCTGTGTTTCTCTTACAAACACTGATTAATTAAGATGTTTAAATCTGAATACACTTTTTACACTTTTTTTTTGTTTGTTTTTACATTGAACTTTTCAACCTGTGTATTGAATATCCAGTGTTATTTGGCATTCATTAATGTGTGTGCTGTGTATACTTTGTGTTACCAGGAATTTTTACTGTCATTGTGCTGTTTCTAAGACATTGTTTCAACTCCTTTTGACATAGTTTAGCTATTTGGAATTTTTTGGCCTTCCAGATAATTCTACACTAAGTAATTGCTAGAATGAAGAGAACAAAGGGCTGTTCTTTCCCACAAGCTTTTCAACCTCAGCAGGAGCTTCTTCAGCCAAAATGAGCATTTGATTTTCTTCTTTCACTTTTTCCTTGTTAATATGACAACGTTCTTTTGTTTTGGTTTTCAGTCCTGGGAATTCTGAATTCCATATTGGCCATTTCTAGCAATATTTTAGAAAAACAGAGATAGCTGTGCCATAAGGAGTTACTGATCATAACAGAATTGAAATACTGTAATTATTTTGGGGTTGTTAGTAAGTATTTTTTCCACTATTAAGTTTTTAAGCAAATCTTTTCACAGTGTGATAAAATATTAAAAAGACACTAAAGGACTAAGCACTCAACATGAGGAAAGGGATTCAGGTAAATGATTTCCATCCATAGGAATGAAAAATAGCTTAGGAATTTTAATGTCAGAACAAATGCTGGGCTTCAGTTACCCATTTCCTGTGTCCATTAATTAATCCAGTGATTTCAATGAAACCACACCTGGCCTGGAAACTAAGGGCACACTTACAGGACTCACTGAATCACTCCTCAGTAGAGTGATTTATCGGATAAAGAAACTAGTGCTGATGTTGTTCAGAGGTGCTGGTTTATACTGTGACAAAAACTGCTCCTCAGAGCTGTATGTTGCTATTTTAAATACCTTGGCCTAGTAATGACATCAGGAGAACAAAGATTCCAGGAGCAAGTTAGTCTGGGGAATGAACTTTTGGAAAATCAAAGGAGGGCTAAAAAACAAGCAGGAGGCAATGAAAAATGTCTCTGGCTGGGTAGTTGTTGTAATGGTAAACATAATATCTGGTGTCATCCTATTGTTTTCCAAGAGGAGTCTGATGAATTGCCCGTGCCTTCTGTTGAAGCTTTACTCCTTTGTGTCAATGTTTTAGTGAGGTTTCTGTTTTAATTTATAAATTAAATACATACATATATATTCCAGTACAGTCTGCATTTGTTACCTGTGATGTACATATCTTCTTCTCCCTTTTATAAAAATCCCTGTTTATGTACAACTAGTTTCTGTCT